CCTGGTCCCTTCTTGTTAAATGGTTAATGCTGTCATTAGGATCAGGGCCAGCCATATGTCTATAAAACTCTCTTCCATGACAAAATAATCAGCTTGATGTGTGTAAACTTTTTACCTTTAATTAACATATACATTTTTAAGTTTCCTGACATTAACTGGCCCTCTCACGTTTAAATTCTGCCCTGGCTGCAAATCTTGGGAGTGTGAAAGAACAAATTAAGAAGGACTTGGAGGCTGTGGAGATGTGGTTTCTGAGAGGCATGCTGCGGATACTGTGGAACGTCAAGTGTGACTAAGAACGACTGTCTGGAAATGACTAATGAAATCAAAAACTCAACATCATCAAGTGCCTTGCAGACTGGCGTGGGCGAACATGCCTTTCGACATTCTGGAGCCGCGTGTATCAGTTCGTGTGTTGACACCCCTCCATGCCATGACAAAAAAAAAAAAAAGGCTGTCTTCTTGCATTGTCTTCCTCTGTCTCTTTCCCACAGATGTTTCCAGTGGTCACAACATGCTCCATTTTCCCTCTTCTCATAACATGACCAAAAAATGATGACTGTCTGTATATGAAGAAACATAAAACTATACATAACTGTGAGAAAGAGACAGTGTTCTTGGATCAAGTGATGAGAAAACAGGCACTGGAGAACACTGCGATGACTGACTGGAAAGATCAATGGTAGAAGAGGCAGACCAAGAGGCGCTCATGCGTCTCCATAGATCAGCATCCCTGGACCAGCTCTCTTGATGATATCCCTCCATATCATCGTTTCAGTCCATCCACCATCATCTCTCTTGGTCTACCTCTACCCTTCTTTACCACTCATCTTTCCAATTGTCACAATGTTTCCCAGTGTCTCTCTTCTCTGGCCAAAGAACAGTGTTTGTCTCTTTCTTATTGTTGTATACAGTGATCTACTTTTATTTGCTTCTTTCAAGCAATCGTTGTTAGTTACTCTGCTCGTCAAAGGTATTCGTAACATTTGTCTTAGAAACCACCCCTCTCTTGCTTTCAAAATTGCTCACTGACATTCCAAGATTTGCTGCCATACAGCAGAACAGGTTCTACATTACCAATAGAGACTTTAAAATGGTCAACTCTCCTCATGAAAAAATAGAAAATTGTTCATTTCCCCATACTCATCTTCACCTTCTTCTCTCTACTCCTGGGATGCTCACAAAGAAAGGGCAGGAAGACACCTGGAACAGGCCCTTCTGATCGCTTCGTACATGATACTTTTAAGTAAAATATTAGATAAATGATTATTTTCCATGTGAAAGATTAGATGAACGATTTATTCAATTTGAAAGAATAGAAACTTGATTGATTCCAAATCAAAGATTAGATAAATGATTTATTCCACATGAAAGATTAGATAAATGATTTATTCAAAATCAATGATTAGATAAATGATTTATTCCATGTGAAAGATTAGATAAATGATTTATTCCAGATGAAAGATTAGATAAATGATTGATTCCAAATCAAAGATTAGATAAATGATTTATTCCACATGAAAGATTAGATGATTGATTCCAAATCAATGATTAGATAAATGATTTATTCCATGTGAAAGATTAGATAAATGATTTATTCCAGATGAAAGATTAGATAAATGATTTATTCCAGATGAAAGATTAGATAAATGATTTATTCCAGATGAAAGATTAGATAAATGATTTATTCCACATGAAAGATTAGATAAATGATTTATTCCAGATGAAAGATTAGATGCCTACCCAAAAGACCGTCGTAAGAGTCGACTAATTAGCAGTTTCATTCAAATTCAGAGCGCGTCTGCCTGAGCGGTTAGGAACCAACAGTCTGCACACACAAATAAGTCTGATCTGTAAAATGGATGCGCACACAACACTCAGGTTCTGGAACAGGACTACAGTCCAGAAGAGAATGAATAACCACAACTTTCTGCCAGAGTTTACAGCTGGTGAAGGAGGAGGAGGAGGAGAAGAAGAAGAAAAAGAAGAAGGAGGTGGAGGAGAAGAAGAAGAAGGAGGAGGAGGTGGAGGAGAAGAAGAAGAAGAAAAGACTGGCATTGCCAGGGGCTGTGATTCCCACATCTTCCTACAGCACAATGGCAGTGTTGTGTCATCTGCAAGGGTGCCAAAAAGCTTTAATGTACACCAAATAAATAAAGTCCTTCCCGATCAAAATCCAGCTTACCATATTTCATTCATGCATTTTACACACACATTTTTTCCCCAACAATTAAACATCTAATATAATGCACCAATATACACAAACATTAGTATTCATTTCTTGCTCAGTCAAACACAATCATAAATATCCATTCCATACACAAATGTACACAAAGAAGTATCCATGCCTTTCACAATCATGAAGATCAATTGAGTATTAAGCTCACTCATAACCACACATATTGTACAAACATCCAACTTTTGCAAAAACATACGCATACAAGCATACACATCCATTCTATATTTACAAGACATATATACATATACATCCTTTTAACAATCACATATATCATATCGTAACCATCCCTCCTTTATACACATTTAATATGTACCGACCCTTCCTAAAAACTATGCATATGACATACATACATAGATACACACCCACCCTTCCTATTTTTCAGTAACATACATACTCCTAAAACAGTGGTTCTCAACATTTGTAACGCTGTGACCCTTTAATACAGTTCCTCACATTGCGGCGACTTGCGACCCCCAACCATACAATTATTTTCATTGCTACTTCATAACTTCAATGAAAATGTGCTTTGCGGTGGTCTTTGGCGACCCCTGTGGAATGATTGTTTGACCCAAAAAACGGTCGCCACCCACAGGTTGAGAACCCCTGCCCTAGAATAATGAGCATACATAATACATTCCTCCTGTAAATATTCCCATTACATACATAGACATGCAATTCTACAAACATGCACATACATACCGATTTATCCCATAAGCATACATATTACACATATCACACAATCATAAAAATTACACACTCCAAGGTTTCACGTTCTTCCCAAAATCATAAAACATCAGTGGCGCGGTGATTTATGTCACAGGCGTGAGGGGAAGTTAAGTCCAACATGATGTGTATAAGGAGATACTCCGTACGTCACTCGGACGCCAGTCCTTCACTGTTCTGGTTTTACGGAACCTAACGCAAGACCCCTGCAGCACGCCCTCGTCGTGCGCCACGGATAATGTCTCAAATGAGCATTAACAGAGCTGTCAGGGGATCTCGGAGTTTGGCGGCCCCCAGAGGTGATGTGTCCATGTGGCTCTCATCAGCCCGCCCCCAAACGCTTGGGTGAAAAAGGTTATCAAAACTCATTAGGAACATGAGTATGCTTGCCAAACGTACAGCTAAAATCACAACCTTTAGTTAAAAGATTGCGGAGTGAAGAGAACATTGTTCACTGTAATCCTCTGTTAACCCTCAGTGTCGTCGTCACCGCGCTGAGGTACACCACAACAGCAACTATCCATAGGCTGGCCATCCATGTACATCCTCGGTTAATCCTCAGTGTCGTCGTCACCACGCTGAGGTACACCACAACAGCAACCATCCATAGGCTGGCCATCCATTTACATCCTCGGTTCACCCTCAGTGTCGTCGTCACCGCGCTGAGGTACACCACAACAGCAACCATCCATAGGCTGGCCATCCATGTACATCCTCGGTGAACCCTCTGTGTCATCATCACCGCGCTGAGGTACACCACAACAGCAACCATCCATAGGCTGGCCATCCATGTACATCCTCGGTTAACCCTCGGTGTCATCATCACCGCGCTGAGGTACACCACAACAGAAACAGCCCATTGGCTGGCTAAGCCTAAATGTCAGACAAAACTAGATCCTACGGCACACGAATAAGCTCAAAATCTGACCATCACAATTTGTATTGAACGGAAAAAGAACAAATGTCCACACCCAAAGACCCCACTCGCTCGAGTGTTGGGACCAAACTGATAACGATATGCCTGAGGCAGGATGTAAAATTCTGTCGGGCTAACGGCTCGTCAAAGAAATCTAACGTGCGAAGAAAAAAGAATATACGTATTCGGATGGTCACAAAAGTCCAAAACCCACGGGCTGCTCCCCGCTGACTTCCAGAGGGCGCAGCCCTTGTCGAGCGGGAAGCCTAATACGGTTGTGAGGTTAAGCAGTCATGTGCAGGACGTGACGATTCCTTGGGTGAGCCCAGAACCAGAGCGCCATGTGCCGGCTCTGCATATATGGAAGCCTCCTTGGATGGCGGGGAAATCCCATGATCTGCCCCTGCCTTCCCTTGAGGGCTAACCGTTCCACAGGGGGCTGCCCCAAAGGGGTACTCCCGGGGCAATACCTGCGGAGAAGGAGACAAAGTGGACACCACACAAAAAAATGGCCACAGTCATCCTAGAAATAGGCCTGACGTCTTCCTTCAAAGTCGGAGTACAGCTGCCCATGAGGCAGGGAACAGTAAAACGGTTGTACACGCAAAAATCAGGTCCAGGTGAAAGCCAAAAGTCCAAGCGGACGATTAACCTTTACCTTCCGCCGGAATTCACAGCCGGTGAACGATAAAAATAAAAAATAAAATAAAAAAAGATTAAAAAAAAAAAATATAACATCACAAAAAGTCCTCCCACAATTATACACATCACATTATAAAAATTCATCCCACAATCATAGACATCACATACATAAACATTCCCACAACAATCATACATACGAAATACATAAACATTCTTTCCAAAATCATAAACACCACTCACATAAACATTCTTTCTACAATCATCCAGATCACACAAATAAAAATTCCTCTCACAATCAAACACATCACATACATAAACATTTCTTTCCCCAATCATACACATCACATACATAAAGATTCCTCCCACAATCATAGACATCACATACAAAAACTTTCCTTTCACAATCATACAGGTCACATACATAAATATTCCTCCCACAATCATACATATCACATGATAGGCAATCTCTAACTAAACAAATCAAAAAGGAAGATCTGCGTAGACGACGTCCATATCCACCCCAAACTCTTTAGCCCAAGGCTGGCTGAGAGCGTTGATGAAGTCCACCGTGCTCTGTTTTGAAGCCAGGGTGATATTCCAACTGGTCGAAGTTCCCTCGGTCTCATTGAAGAGTTCCAGCCGAATTTTCTTCATGGTCGTTTCACACACTTCCTGTTGAATGACAGGAAGTGAAAGCAAGGATCATGGCAAAACCAAAGCTGATCGATAATTGTTATTTATTAAGATGTTGTGAGACATGAAGACTGAGGTTGAACGAACGAACAAATGTACATTACATCTAGCCCTTCCAAACACTCATCTTTCACAAAGCAATTGTGTTTAATCAATATCCAAACACTCATCTTTCACAAAGCAATTGTGTTTAATCAATATCCAAACACTCATATTTCACAAAGCAATTGTGTTTAATCAATATCCAAACACTCATCTTTCACAAAGCAATTGTGTTTAATCAATATCCAAACACTCATCTTTCACAAAGCAATTGTGTTTAATCAATATCCAAACACTCATCTTTCACAAAGCAATTGTGTTTAATCAATATCCAAACACTCATCTTTCACAAAGCATTGTGTTTAATCAATAAAGCATGTTATATTCATATAACAATTTGCATTATATGAATATCAAAGAAAATACACAAAAACATGGATAGTAAAATGCACTGTTCAAGGAAGTCATGTTTATAGGTAAAAACAGCAAAGATAAATCACAACAAACAAAGAGTGAAATCTACCCCCCTATTGAAGGTAGTCATGCCTACTCAAAGAGTGAAATCTACCCAACTGTTGAAGGTAGTCATGCCTACTCAAAGAGTGAAATCTACCCAACTGTTGAAGGTAGTCATGCCTACTCAAAGAGTGAAATCTACCCAACTGTTCAAGGTAGTCATGCCTACTCAAAGAGTGAAATCTACCCAACTGTTGAAGGTAGTCATGCCTATTCAAAGAGTGAAATCTACCCAACTGTTGAAGGTAGTCATGCCTACTCAAAGAGTGAAATCTACCCCACTGTTGAAGGTAGTCATGCCTACTCAAAGAGTGAAATCTACCCCACTGTTCAAGGTAGTCATGCCTACTCAAAGAGTGAAATCTACCCCACTGTTGAAGGTAGTCATGCCTACTCAAAGAGTGAAATCTACCCAACTGTTGAAGGTAGTCATGCCTACTCAAAGAGTGAAATCTACCCAACTGTTGAAGGTAGTCATGCCTACTCAAAGAGTGAAATCTACCCCACTGTTGAAGGTAGTCATGCCTACTCAAAGAGTGAAATCTACCCCACTGTTCAAGGTAGTCATGCCTACTCAAAGAGTGAAATCTACCCCACTGTTCAAGGTAGTCATGCCTACTCAAAGAGTGAAATCTACCCAACTGTTGAAGGTAGTCATGCCTACTCAAAGAATGAAATCTACCTAACTGTTGAAGGTAGTCATGCCTACTCAAAGAGTGAAATCTACCCAACTGTTGAAGGTAGTCATGCCTACTCAAAGAGTGAAATCTACCCAACTGTTGAAGGTAGTCATGCCTACTCAAAGAGTGAAATCTACCCAACTGTTGAAGGTAGTCATGCCTACTCAAAGAGTGAAATCTACCTAACTGTTGAAGGTAGTCATGCCTACTCAAAGAGTGAAATCTACCTAACTGTTGAAGGTAGTCATGCCTACTCAAAGAGTGAAATCTACCCAACTGTTGAAGGTAGTCATGCCTACTCAAAGAGTGAAATCTACCCAACTGTTGAAGGTAGTCATGCCTACTCAAAGAGTGAAATCTATCCAACTGTTGAAGGTAGTCATGCCTACTCAAAGAGTGAAATCTACCCCACTGCTCAAGGTAGTCATGCTTACAGATAAAAAACAAAAACAAAGATAAAACTAGAAGAAACAGTTGTAGAGGGAGACTTACCGCTGCTGCCACGTTGCTGACTTTCTGTCGCTCCAGCACCGTGAACTGTTTGCCTACAGTCTCCTCGGAGATGGCAGCTTGCAGGCGAGGCTGTGGCCACTGGAGGTTGGCGCACACCAGGCAGATGTCGGAGGTCGTGATGACAAAACTGACAGGGAACAGTTTCTGATTGCCTGAAATACGAACAAACCCATAAAGCAGTGTTTCCCAAACCTTTCTCATTCGCGGCTCCTTTTTACAAAAAAAAATGTCCTGTGGCGCCTTAACCTAAGTAAATGTATGACTATTCGTATGTAATAGATTGAAAAAAAATATAAATGAATAAAACTCGTGTATCTTCGCGGCGCCCTTGTGAAGATGTGGGCGCCGTGGCACACAGTTTGGGAATCACTGACATAAAATCATTTCTCGATAAGTAACTACGGTAATTTGCAAGAAAATTACTTAAATTTAAGGGGATTTTATTTTTGTTTTTAATTTGGGACTCAGAGATTTTGTGGGGAATTACTGACAAAGTCCCATAGTTTAGGGTTGTTAGGGTCTGACACTAACACAATCTCGGTATCCCAGAGATGGGGTGAAATAACAGAAACATTTTTTTTTTAAATTAAACAAAATTAACTATTAATCAGTAAGAAAAGAACTTTTAATCTGTGAATAGCTAAGTTGATTTATAAGTAAGAAGTATATAAATTGGTTCACTGGTTCAGATCCTGAAAGAGCGGGACTTTTTCCAAAATGACCTTGGCTCCTAGGTCGACCCAGCCTTAAATAGGTACAAGGCAAGGTCATGGGAAGTAGCAACAACTGGTGTGATGTTGACCACATCGCCCACTGAGGAGGGGATCTGAGCACTTATGGACTGAGTGGTTTGACGTGCAATGATAATCTGTCCACTAACTAACTAACCCACTGAGGAGGGGATCTGAGCACTTATGGACTGAGTGGTTCGACGTGCAATGATAATCTGTCCACTAACTAACTAACCCACTGAGGAGGGGATCTGAGCACTTATGGACTGAGTGGTTCGACGTGCAATGATAATCTGTCCACTAACTAACTAACCACTGAGGAGGGGATCTGAGCACTTATGGACTGAGTGGTTTGACGTGCAATGATAATCTGTCCACTAACTAACTAACCCACTGAGGAGGGGATCTGAGCACTTATGGACTGAGTGGTTTGACGTGCAATGATAATCTGTCCACTAACTAACTAACCCACTGAGGAGGGGATCTGAGCACTTATGGACTGAGTGGTTCGACGTGCAATGATAATCTGTCCACTAACTAACTAACCCACTGAGGAGGGGATCTGAGCACTTATGGACTGAGTGGTTTGACGTGCAATGATAATCTGTCGACTAACTAACTAACCCACTGAGTGCTGATTGGTCTGTAAAATATAGGTCTAACACAATATATGCCCTATGTGCCTAAAGGCGCCGAAAAGGGTCTTTCCATTTTTTTTTTAACCTTATTGATTGGTAAGTAAACAACTGTATTAACTTGTAAAGCAAATAACTGTTAATTTGTATATAAATAACTGTTAATTTATAAATAAATAACTTTTAAATTGTGAGAAAAAACAGTTCATTTGCAACTGCAGGCAAATAACTGTTCCTTTCTAAGCCTACTTCAATGCAATCGGCTTGTATCCCTCCTATCTGGTTCTGACTAAGAGTAGCACATGCGTAGCTCTTGGAGTTATTGCAACATGAAAGCAGTTATACCACTGTAAGGTGGACACACATCACAGAGGATATAAGCATCCGATACTTGACACTACAGCTCTTTCTCCCATTTCTATCTTTTATCCCCCATTTATATCTTCTACCTCTCATTCCTATCTTCTACCGCCCATTTCTAACTTCTGCTTTCAATTCCTATCTTTTACCTCCCACTCGTATCTTCCACCTCCCATTCATATTTTCTATCTCCCATTCCTTTCTTCTGTCTCCCATTATTATCTTCTACCTCACATTCCTATCTTCTACCTCTTATTTCTATCTTCTACCTAAAATTCCTATCTTCTATCTCAATTCCTATCTTCTATCTCAATTCCTATCTTCTACATCTCATTCCTATATTCTACCTCCCATTTCTATCTACATCTACCATCCCTGACTTCAGTTCACCATTCTTAACTTCTGTCTCCCATTCATATGTCCATATCTACCATTCCTAGCTCCATATCTTTCTTTCCCATCTTCTACCCCCCATTCCTATCTCTATTTACCATCCCTGACTTTCTCCCATTCATAGCTCCATTTCTTTCATTCCCATCTTCTACCTCCCATTCCTATCTCTATCTACTATCCCCGACTTCTATCTCCCATTCATATGTCCATATCTACCATTCCTAGCTCCATATCTTTCATTCCCATCTTCTACCTCCCATTCCTATCTCCATCTACCATCCATGACTTATACTGTCATTCCTATCTTCTATTCCCACTCCTCCCATACATATGTCCATTTCTCCCATTCCCATCTCAACTTCTCCCAATGCTAACTCCACATATCTCATGTGCCTATCTAGCAATTACCTCTCTCGATAAACCCCATACAGTAGTGCAGCATCCTCTGGTCAGCAGCCAGCTTGGAGACCACGTCCCGGTCCAGGTTGTTCAAGGTCGCTTCATCTATGTCGTCACTGACCACTACGTGAGATGCAATACCTTGAGACACCGCATACTTGGCCAGGTTGGCTGCAAGTGCAAAAACACAAAATTCCAAATGTAAAACACAATGCACAGGGGGCAAAAAGTTGGTTACAACCATCTTCTTCTTTTTCGCATTCACCGGCTGTAAACTCCAGGGGAAGTTCTGACTGTTTGTCCATTTCTAGACTGCAGTTCTGTTCCAAAACTAAGTGTTGCGTGTGCATCTGTTTGACAGATCTGACTAATTTGTATGCAGACTGTTGGTTCCTTGCCTCTCAAGCAGATGCACTCAGACTTTGAAGGAAGCTCCCAATTAGTTGACTCTTACGACATGCTTTTTGGTTGGCAGTGGGTCTATTCTTGTTTTCCCTTTAATAGGGCCCCAGAACCCACATGGGGACACAACCATCTAATAAGGACAGCCTACAATCTGGACTCCCCAATCAATCAAGCCTAAAGTGAGTACAAGGAAATGTCATGAGGAGCAAAGGCAGCAGCAGTTATACCGAGCATTTCCCATGTGGAAATTTTTTTTGCCTTGACTTTAGTCTTCCACTTTCCAGAAGGGCAGTCTGCTCTCACAGAAAGAAATTACAAATTCTGTGAGTATTTTGCAAAAAAAAGTCATGTCTGTGCAAGCTATATAAATCCTATATTGATATACGGATGTGAATCATGGACAGGTAGTAAATAAGTGAAAACTTTTTTGGAGTCTTTGGAGATGTGGTTTTATAGACGAATGATGAGGATGAAAATATAACAGCTACAAATCTTGCAAATGCCATTTTTAACCATATAGTAGCTGTACAGGGGCACCACACTATGGTTACACAGTAAACTGTAGTCCAGTGTGTGTGTGTGGGGGGTCCGACACCTGTCGAGTGCCGGTCAGTCTACAAATATATGACATAAGCATTAACATATCTCAAAGCCAGATGTAGGTTCTTTACTTAATAAGAACAGGCTGGACTCTTTACTTCACCCAGCATAAAATGGATACTGCGAAATGTCATAGGAAGTAAAGGCAGCAAGCTTCTTTGTAATCTTATGAAAACATGCTTGATTTATATGTCACAAACGTTCTTCAAACGTTCTTGTGCAACTTTGACGAAAACAATAATATAAAACTTGTGACAACCTTATTCCACGAAGACACAAAACATATGATGACTATATTCCATGAAGACAAACATAAAACATGTGATGACTATATTCCACGAAGACAAACATAAAACATGTGATGACTATATTTCAGGAAGACAAATATAAAACATGTGATGACCATATTCCATGAAGACAAACATAAAACATGTGATGACCATATTCCATGAAGACAAACATAAAACATGTGATGACTATATTCCATGAAGACAAACATAAAACATGTGATGACTATATTCCATGAAGACAAACATCAAACATGTGATGACTATATTCTATGAAGACAAACATAAAACATGTGATGACCATATTCCATGAAGACAAACATAAAACATGTGATGACCATATTCCATGAAGACAAACACAAAACATGTGATGACTATATTCCATGAAGACAAACATAAAACATGTGATGACCATATTCTATGAAGACAAACATAAAACATGTGATGACCATATTCCATGAAGACAAACATAAAACATGTGATGACCATATTCCATGAAGACAAACATAAAACATGTGAGGACTATATTTCATGAAGACAAACATAAAACATGTGATGAACTTATTCCATGAAGACAAACATAAAACATGTGATGACCATATTCCATGACGATAAACATAAAACATGTGATGACCATATTCCATAAAGATAAACATAAAACATGTGATGACTATATTTCAGGAAGACAAATATAAAACATGTGATGACCATATTCCATGAAGACAAACATAAAACATGTGATGACTATATTCCATGAAGACAAACATAAAACATGTGATGACTTTATTCCATGAAGACAAACATAAAACATGTGATGACTTTATTCCATGAAGACAAACATAAAACATGTGATGACTATATTCCATGAAGACAAACATAAAACATGTGATGACTTTATTCCACGAAGACAAACATAAAACATGTGATGACTATATTTCAGGAAGACAAACATAAAACATGTGATGACTATATTTCAGGAAGACAAACATAAAACATGTGATGACCATATTCCATGAAGACAAACCCAAAACATGTGATGACTATATTCCATGAAGACAAACATAAAACATGTGAGGACTATATTTCATGAAGACAAACATAAAACATGTGATGACCATATTCCATGAAGACAAACATAAAACATGTGATGACCATATTCCATGAAGATAAACATAAAACATGTGATGACCATATTCCATAAAGATAAGCATAAAACATGTGATGACCATATTCAATAAAGATAAACATAAGACATGTGATGACCATATTCCATAAAGATAAACATAAAACATGTGATGACCATATTCCATGAAGACAAACATAAAACATGTGATGACTATATTCCATGAAGACAAACATAAAACATGTGATGATCATATTCCATAAAGATAAACATAAAAAATGTGATGACTATATTCCATGAAGATAAACATAAGACATGTGATGACCATATTCCATGAAGACAAAAATCTAACACAGGAGAGGGCTATATTCCATAAAGACAAACATAAAACATATGATGACTATATTCCATAAAAAAAAAATACAACATGTGATGACTATATTCTGTGAAGACATTCAGAAAACATGTGACGATAGTCCATGCAAACATAAAGCATGTGATGACCATATTCCATTAGATCACAAATATAAAGACGAAGACATGAACTTGAAAAAAAAAAAAGTTAGAAGCATACTGCATAAAGATAAGAACATAAAAAATGTGACGACCATACTCCATGAAGACACAAAAAAAAAACATGTGACGGCTATATTTAGTGAAGACACAATACAAGAAATATTATATCTAACCATATTCCTTGGTTCTCCAGGTTGAGGTCGACACCCCAATCTTTGTATAACCTCCTTTTAACACAAAACTGAATTCAGATGAGTTGAATGGGAATAGACCAGACCAAAAGGTAGACCAAGAAGACAGCGGAGAGATAATATACAGGAAGATCTACAAACACTTGAAGTCACCAACTGGAAAGAGAAGGCAAACCAGAGAGATGAATGGAGATGGGTGATATCCGCAGTAATGAATCTCAAGAGCTCGGAATGCTGACGAAGAAGAAGAAGAAGACAATCCATAAGGATACATATATAAAACATGCAATGGTCATATCCCATGAGGTCACTAACATAAAACATGTGTCAAACATATTCCATGAAGTCAATAATATAAAACACATGCCGTCGTGTCACAAGAAGACACACAGTTACACAAGCCACCCCTTACTGTGCAGCAGCTCCACAAACTGGACAGTCTTGTCATGGTTGCGGGTGACAAATGTGTAACTGGAACAGTCGGTGACAAACTCCAGGCGAAAAGTCTGGCCACCCAGCCCCACATCAATGTAGCGCAGTTCTGGAATGGGTTGAATCTCTACACAGTGCAGCCAATGGTCTGGTGGTTGGCTGTGACAGACACAGTGTGACGTGTGTTAATATGCATGTGACATGTTAACATGAATGTGACGTTTTAGAATGACAGCATTGGAAAAGCATGTATCAGGCATGGCCGCTCAGTCTGGTCCCAACGCAGCAGACTTTTGAACCTTGTCTGTCACACAATGGTACGGTTGATGGTCGGAATTCTGAACCCTGTCTGCCCCACAATGGTACAGTTGATGGTCAGAATTCTGAACCTTGTGTCTGTCTCACAATGGTACAGTTGATGGTCAGAATTCTGAACCTTGTGTCTGTCTCACAATGGTACGGTTGATGGTCAGAATTCTGAGCCTTGTCTGTCTCTCAATGGTACGGTTGATGGTCAGAAATCTGAACCTTGCCTGTCACACAATGTTACGGTTGATGGTCGGAATTCTGAACTTTGTCTATCACATAATGGTACATTTGATAGTCGGAATTCTGAGCCTTGTCTGTCACACAATGGTACGGTTGATGGTCCGAATTCTGAACCTTGTCTGTCACACAATGGTACGGTTGATAGTCGGAATTCTGAACTTTGTCTATCACATAACGGTATGTTTGATAGTCGGAATTTTGAACCTTGTCTGTCACACAATGGTACGGTTGATAGATGAATTGTGATCCTTGTTTGTCACACAATGGTATGGCTGAAAGTTGGAATTCTGAACCTTGTCTGTCACACAATGGTACAGTTGATGGTTGGAATTCGGAACCTTGCGATTCATACAGAAAGACATTCGATGGTTGGACATCTAAAATGTTGCTGTTATGCCGCAGAACAGGACCATGAGATAACACCCAAAGAAGTTGTTGCTTGTCTTCTTCTTCTTTGCGCTCACCGGCTGTAAACTCTGGCACAAAGTTCTTGTTGTTCATCCACTTCTGGACTGCAGTCCTGTTTCATCAGAACCTAAGTGTTGCACTTGCAACCGTTTGACAGATCTGACTAATTTGTGTGCAGACTGTTGGTTCCTTGCCTCTCAGGCAGATGCACTCTGACTTCGAAGGAAGCTCTCATTTAGTCCACTCTTACGACATGCTTTTGGGTAGGCAGTGGGTCTATTCTTGTTTTCCCTATAACAGGGCCCCGGAACCCACATGCAGAGTTGCTTGTCTAACCCGCATACAAATCTCTTGGTCTAGGGCTGAGTCTCAGCAGTCTGCAGGGAGGTGGCTGCTCAATTTATTTCAACACCCTGACATCTGACAGGCAGACATGTGAGCCTAATGAGCAGGACTTCCGGCTGACAGACGTTTGAACCGAGGTTTGTTATGGTAGGATATTTGGTCAGCACACATGTTTCAAATGAAGTTTTTATTAAACATGTTCACCTATGCAATGGGAAAAGAGGGTGGGGTGTGGCCATAGAGATCCCCCTTTACTCTTATATCTGAGAAGGTAAAGAGTACTTTACAAGTTACCCCAAGAAGCCCATTTTCCAGCCTTGTCATCCATATTTATTTCTATATCAGGAATTAGAACTCTTCGCTTGCTGCTGAAAATGGGCATGGAGCGCTTATGGAGGTGCCCTGTGCTGTGATGTCAATTCTTAATTCATCATTCTACATCAGTCAACAAAATGTCGAGAAAAGATTAAAAAACAATTTGTTTGGTGCCCAAAAGCTGTAATAACACAGGTTTTTCTTTTAAAATTATGGGTTATGAGCCATTTTCACAAGAATTTTCAGGGTTTAACTCTCTGAGTCCCAATGCATGATGTGTTAATCACTCTACCTGCTGAATCCTCTCCGTAGCTAATATACTTTCTGTATTCGGTCAGAACAAACTTGGGAAATCTGGCTTGTTTAATAGCCACTACTACTGTTATATTACACATGAAATGTAATGCACTGATACATTTTAAGCACATATATTTCTTTACTGACATCTCCTATTTGATCATCTTCTTCTGGTACTGAAAGAGTTAAGGGTTAACAAAAGCAACCATAAGTTACAAAATTCTCTCTCGGCTACCTGTGATCCTCAGATGTGATTTTCAGGATGTAGAATCTGGCTGAAGACATGACCAACAATCCCTCGTAGGATTTCTCCACAATGTATTGCACAACTTCACCCTGGTAACAAACGCAAGGCAAAGAAGTGAATAATTAAAGGAAAAGTAAATGGTGGTACAGAGCAGGCGAACGAAAAAAGTACTGTATAAATGAGAAGTTAAAAAACAAATGTTAAGATACCACTTATATCTTTAACCTAATGGGAAGGGGAGGGGGGGAAGAAGTCTGGTCTCAAGGCATGGTGTCCACGAGAGCTAGAAGTCCCGGTTTTCATCCCCCGCGAGAGCTAGAAGTCCCGGTTTTCATCCCCCGTGAGAGCTAGAAGTCCCGGTTTTCATCCCCCGTGAGAGCTGGGATTTTTTCACATGGACTATGTAGTGAGCCTGTATGCATTTTGCGCAGGTAAAAATAAAAAAATAAAAATAAATCCCCTGGCAGTTGGAAATCGAAAAGTGTAGCCTAGCGGTGCTGCCCGGGCAAAAATTGGAGTTAAAAATCTAACCAAAGTATTGCAGGATCCTTGCCGGTGCAACAGAGTTCGTGCACTGTGCTGAGATTGACAGACTCGGGCTTGAATTAGATGAAGAATGGATCACTTATGGGTTACACCCGTGTGCCATGATGTTGATCCGTTGAATAAACATAATAATAAACAAACATAATTATATCTCTAGGTGCTGGTACTCTGCCATGGGGGGATGCATTTTGTGATCTAATGAATCTCTCCAAAGACCTCTGTAGTGAAGTGGTCACGCTGTTTGCCTCATATTCTAAGACTCATGGGTTGATTTCATGGCTTGGTTCAAAGGTGTAATTTTTATGCAGAACCCTGCGGGATCATTGCTAGAGCTACAGAGTTCCGTGCTTTGTGTGATGTTCTCAGCAGGCAGCTAGCTGTTCTGTGGTGAGGGGCTGAGCCATAAGGGATAAACCCTGGTGCAATGAAGCTGATCCTCTCCACTTTAAGCCTTAAATGACTCCTATAGCTAGTTAAATCAACATATAATGTGTCATAAAGATGAATCAATTTTGCCAAAATTGAAAAACAAAATACATTATCAAGTTAGGCTAAAAATCTATACACTGGAAATAAATATTAAAAAAATTTTTTGTGTGTGGTCAGAGTGACATAATTTCATTGTGCCTGTTCACAGCATAGCTAAGACATCCGTGCATTTCAGCCAACACATCTAACTTCATCAAATATTTGTTGACTGGGTTAACTAAAGATTCAAGATCAACCACGTGTATACCATGGTAACCTTACATTTATCACATGATCTTTTTGTTTACATAAAACAGGACAGCTCAGTTTTATTGATACGCCTCAGGTAGTCTCAGTAAATGTCTACTCAATGTATGGTCAACAAAAAAATTTTGAAGGCACAATCCTTATCAGCTACATGCCCAGAGTCAAGCAAATGATGTCCAATCAAAGAAATGGGTTCTCTCTTCTTGGCTGTTCTTGGTACAGCAGCATTTATCAGTTGATATTTAAGTGTCAGTTGACTTACATTGGTCTAGCAGAGACAGCTTGAAAACAGAGTAGCAGAACATACACCTAAATGAATCCACAAAACAGTTGAGTGGAGATCCTGTCTGCATCTTTTAAATAGCTTATGTGTCAACAACAACATGAAGAGCATACAGATACAGATACTTCCGGTAAAAAATACTGAGGACCAGGCATGGCAGAATGATTTTTTGCTTCCAACAGCGCTTTGCTAATGCAGTTTCCATTTATGGACAGAAGTCTATGGTTTCACTGCCTGAGTTTAGTGCTTGTTGCAGCGCTGTGAGCTCTCTGTTTTTTTCATGTGGAATGCCTTTCACTTAGGCAGCGGCTGTGTCGTAGTATTATTTAATATGGCCGGTAGTCGGTTTACATGTGGGCTGGTGAAATACCTTATGTAATAACTGTTCATGTGTATAGCCAACTTATTGTGACCGACTACTTCCAGCAGCGACAAACTGCATTTCTGGTGGCAAGTGACAGGCTCTGCACCTCTAGCAACTGCCATATGCATTTACTGCATGTGCATATTTCAAAATGGTGTCGGAACCTACTGTTTGTTAACCAATTTTTCATATGTGACAGTGAGGGACATTTCATTTGCTTTTCACTGGTACAGGAACAGAGCAAGTTTGAGGTGACCTGATTGCAGTGATGCTGAAACCTCGACTAAGACAGATACAGACCACATCATGAGCTGTATTGTAGCTAGCTCCAATTTTTACAAGCCACACAAGAACTGGTGGGTTTTGAGGTAGGTAGCACACTGGCCGTCTTTACTTTGTAGGGTATTTTCTGATACTTAGAAACATCTCACATAAAGCTTATGACGAGGTAGCTAAGCATGCTGAGCTCAAAGATAAGAACCCTGTGTGGGTTCTGGGGCCCTGTTGTGGGGAAAAACAAGAATAGATCCCCTGCCTTCCCAACAAGCATGTCGTAGTAGTCGACTAACTGGGAGCTTCCTTGGATGTCAGAGTGCATCCGCCTGAGCGGACTGCAAACTAATAAGCCAGTAAAACGGACGTACATGCAAAATTCAGACCCTGGCACAAAGGTAAAGTCCAAAGAGACCAAATAACCAGGACTTTCCGCTGCAGCTTACAGCCAGTGACATGAAGGAGGAGAGGAAGAAGAGTAGACAAAGAAAAGAATAAACAAACAATTGGGAACTAACCTGCAGTTTGCAATCAAACTCCTCATCTGTTCCAAACAGTGACATCATCAAGTAGAGTGTCAGGCGGTGGTTTAAATGATGAAAGGCATACTTAGGTACCAGATCCTCCTCTTCACCTTCATCACTGTCATTATCCTCATCATACTCCCCCTCAGCTGAGTTGGAAGCCAAGACAACATTCTGAGAAATATTTGAATTTGCCTGCGGGTAAGTTCTAGTAACCGAACCTCCCTGAGAATCAGGTTGCATTTCTGGAACACAGACTGAAGAACCTTCTGCGAGTCCGTTAACTTCAGATGTGATCTTACGCTGGGATGAAGGCTCTTTATGTTTAGTATGTGGTTTCTTTCTTGATGAAAGGTGAGATTCTCTTGGGTGGTCATAAATGCTGGGCAGGTCCTCGGAAGAGCTGCAACTTGACCCAAACATGACCACGGCAGTACTTACTAGAGCTTGAATACCATCTGCAGAGTCAGGACCGGCATCACCCCCCTCAACATGAGGAACGGCATCACTCTCACCCCCCGGGGTGTTCATGGACGTCTCATATATACTGGACACCATACTGCTGCAGATATTAGAACTCAGGGGGGAGATCGTTGAGGCACTTCTATCTGAGTCTGCTGTAAACATCTCAGGGTCCATTCGAGTTCCTTCAGAAGGCAGCGATGAGCTCAAAGGAGGTACAACACTCAAAGCATCATCAAAGCTGGACCCCGTTGTGGGCCCTGGAATTACAGCTATGCTGGAGCTGCTCTCAGAATGCTTCAGCCCTGTGTGAATGTTACCACCTTCTATGGAGACTATACTGGTTTTCCTATTGTGGCCATGGGAAGATCTCATAAATGCTGAAATGCTCACACTCTTTCCCTTACTGCTGCTGTATGAAGAACTGATTCCTTCTTCCTCCAGGCACTTACCTTCCTTGACCAAACTATTCACAATCTCTTCCATGGCTGCTAGATTCCCATGCACCAATGACCTTGACCCAGATCTCACTGTGTCCACGTCTTTCTTTTCGCCATCTTCACCTTCATGAGAACTAGACCTTCTCTCTATTGCTATTGGTCTAGAAAATTTACCACTACCATTTACAATTCCACTTTCGTAGCCACTGTCTATTAAATGCTTCTGTATTACCCCCATAAATGTGGACTTCTCTGAATCTCTAGACTGTGTTTCTTTCAGAGATGTCCTTCTCACCAATGCATTCGTGCCTCTAGTGGACGAATCTCCTTGTAAACTTGTGGTCATCAGGGCCACGTCTGAGGATGTTGGGATGTTTGCCATGCTGCTGGCTGAGAAGTGATCTTCTACACACAGAAGCTCACCTTTTTCTCTGTTATCTTCTGATCCATCTAGAATATACAACAAGCAGAAATGTGACAATTAGCTTGGGAAGGGAGATACAGATCTTTTCATAGACATTGTTTTTACAAATACTGTTTAAAATTTCAAATTAATTAGATTATAACCACAGTGAGAGGATAGCCTGCTGAACTTCTTTAAAGGCAAGTATTAAAGAAAATGATCTGCAGAAAAATTAAACAAGAATGATCTGAAGAAAATGGCAATTAACAACACAACTGTTAAAAAAAAAAATAATGCACACAAAAATTACATTTGAAGGATAATGGCTAAAGAATGGTCTTAAAGAAAGTAAGATATAATTTAAAATGTATATTGAAAAGAACAATATGCAGAAAATGACAATTAAAATATAAGAAGAATGAACAGAAAATAATTATATTTGAAAGATGATTAAAAAAAAATGATCTGCAAAAAACAGTTATTCGAACAAGTGCTCCCCCCCCCCCCCCCCCCCCCCCCACTTTTTCCCCCAAGCGGTGCATAACAGTACAGAGTAACAGCAACTTTTTTCAGGGAACATTTCACTAGTTATGAGTACCAGCCCCCTTTTTTTACTAAAAAAACTCAAAAACAAACAATGAATTCTGACCGGTGATGTCCCACTGTGGGTTTCGGGGCCTAATTGTGGGGAGGGGGGGAATGGCAAGTAGAGGCAAGTAGACGAACAACCAAGACTTTCTACCAGAGTTTACAGTCAGTAAGAAGAAGTAGATCAGTATCAAACAGTCTTCTTTTACTTTTTCTCCCCCCCCCCCCCCTTTTCAATAACCTCAGCAACAAACTGTGGTGCTTTCTTAATATCCTACCCCTCACAGGGGAAATCCACAGGTCACGGGACAGTCTAATATTTCAAGGGGTGGCAGATAGGCTGCATAGAGTCATGGGACCTAGGCTGCACTCTCTAGTGGAACGTAGTGTTCAGTGCTCAGTAAGCATGCTTTGCGTTGGCAAACTTTTCATCTTTCCAGAGGATAATGTTATACTTGTGCTACCAGGAGGCATGGGTCTCATAGCCCAGTGGTGAAGGTGAGTGTGACTAGCAAGACCCGCTTGCGTTAAAAAAAAGTCTTCCACAATTGGAGCACAGGATTTCAGGCATTTTGTTCCCATGAATGTACCTCAATACCTGTATCACTCATGCCCCACTTGCACACAACCAGCCTCGACATCTTCTACCCAACTGTAATTCACAATAGAGGATGTCCTTAGGGACGCTACCATCCACCATTATCCAGGTGTGACCCAGCCACCTGAGCCTTCGTAGACTGAGCACTGAGAAGACTGTTGTAATACCTGCTCTTTCCTATGCCTCAGAGTTTGTGATTGTGTCCTGTCACTTAATGCTAACTATTCTTTTTGGACATCGCATGTGAAGGCTATCAGCTGTTTCTCCTGGTGTGAAAAAGTTGACCAGGTTTTACTGCCGTAAAGAAGAGTGCTGAAAACACGTGCCTGATTGACAAGAGTTTTTGTTTTAATCGTCTGCTTTTTGTTCTCTCAAATTCTTAATGCCATTACTCCATATTTTTTTAGGTCTTCCACTCGCTCTAAACCCGTTCTAACGTTTTAGTGTGGCTCGCTGTGGAAGATAGTACCATGACATTCTTGTTGGGTGTCCAAACCACTTGAGCATGCTTAAGAAGACCAAATCTGACAAACTCTAACTAGAATGATGTGTTGACAGCATCCAGGAGTCCCACTTCAAGAAAGTTGGCTGCACACACAGGGGCGAAGGAAAATGAAAGAGCTGACAGACTGGCCATATCTGCAGCATTTAGTGAAGGATGAAGTATGGACAGGACAGACATACTGAATGCATGTTCAAGAGATGGTGAGACAAAAAGAGTCACGGGTGATGAACAGCAAAAACCGGTTGTAGGGTGAAGGAAGAAGAGGTGTCAATCAACTCCTACTGGGTACGTTGAGTATGGGGACACCGCTGCATTGGAATCTGGAGCACATGAGGGTCTGCTCGATGTCTATAAGGATAACTATTTTCTTAGTGTTCACCGGCTGTAAACTCCAGCGGAAGGTTCTGGTTGTTCATCCACTTCTGGACTTAGGTCTTTCAGAACATGAGTTTCGCATGTGCACCCATTTACATATATGGCTTATTTGTATGCAGACTGTTGGTTCCTCATCTCCCAGGCAGATACTCTCTGACTTGGAAGGAAACACCCCTAATTAGTCAATCTTATGACATGCTTGTTAGTAGGCAGTTAGTCCGAATCCCCCCCCCCCCCCCCCCCACCCGCATTGGGGCTCTGGGGATATAAGGATAACAAGTAACAAGACAAAGTGACCGCAAGACATATACTTACAGAAGTGTGCACGACCCTCGTGTCTGTGATAAGGGCACTAGTTCTGTCTCTGACTGCTGTTGTCATACTGGAGAAGAAAAAGAAGAAAAACGCATCTTTTATTTTCTATTGCCAAAGTTTCATGATGCACATTTGGTCAACTACAGCCATCTAACTACCAACACAGACGCCACACATGAAAAAGATCTGAAATGAAAGCAAGAGATCGCTCTCACAGAACATGGACTGATGACATTAAAAGAGCTTCTATATTTACAAGGAAAGACAAGAGCTATTGCTGCCCATCAAACAATGGACCGTAAACTGTTCTTTCCCTCGATGCTTAATGGCAGAAGTAGAAATTCATGGTGATAATGATGATGATGATGATAGCTGTCAAATGGATGGCACATGAAAACGGAGAGGTGCTGTTTATGGTAACCGTGACGCTGACCTTTTATTCATAGCTTTTTGGATTCAGGGGCGTGATTCTATTCCATCTGGGACATTTCATGGAACGGCGCAATGAACAGTGACATGCGACACCAGTCAATGCGTTGCTCACAGAACGGTGCAATGAATAGTGACATGCAACACCAGTCAATGGATTGCTCACAGAACGGTGCAATGAACAGTGACATGCAACACCAGTCAATGGATTGCTCACAGAACGGTGCAATGAACAGCGACATGCAACACCAGTCAATGGATTGCTCACAGAACGGTGCAATGAACAGCGACATGCAACACCAGTCAATGGATTGCTCACAGAACGGTGCAATGAACAGTGACATGCAACACCAGTCAATGGATTGCTCACAGAACGGTGCAATGAACAGTGACATGCAACACCAGTCAATGGATTGCTCACAGAACGGTGCAATGAACAGTGACATGCAACACCAGTCAATGGATTGCTCACAGAACGGTGCAATGAACAGCGACACCCTGCAACCTCGCATATCGTCGGTGTCCCCGAAATAATCTAGAATTAGGTCATAACCCTACGCTCTCGAGCAGTCCAGTGATTTATGAATAAAACAGCCCGCAGTGCGTAACCTAATTAAATCGTCACGGTTATCGTGAACAGCACCAATGGAGATATGGACATCCTATAAAAAGCTAGAGAAGGATAGTAGAATGGGAAATGATGAAATGTAAACTGACACAGATACCATCAGCAGAAAAGCAGCAGACCAACTTTACACCATTATGGACATCCAGAATACTTACTCCAAGCTTTTCTTCCGTGCAAGAGAAGAAGGTCTCTTGACCTGGTCCATGTAGCCCCCAGTCAAAGAGGCGTATGATCCCACAGGTGTTGACATGGCAGACCCTGTTGACTTGTCAGTGGAGGGCGGTTGCTGGAGCTCAATGATGAGTGAACTTCCACATTTGGGACACAGCATGGTAGTTTTGTCTACAGGACAAGAGTGAGAGAAAAGAAAGGGAAAAAAAGGTAGTTATGTATCCTTTACAGCAGCGTTCTCAAATTGTGGGTTCTGACCCCTAACATCTAAAACACATATGACGGTTACCACGACATGAAGGGTTGCAGCATTAGGAAGTTTGAGAACCACTGCTGTACAGTATGACTATACAACTGGCTGTCCACAAGCCAAATCTGTAATGCAGAGGTCCAGCAAGCGGCCTGTAGATCAATGACAATTTTAGAGTATTATTGGTTTTTCCGACTAGACATAAAATGCATAAAACAAAGTCCATGTGGAGGCAGAAGTGCAGGATAAGATTTTCCAGAATTCTCTAGAGGGGGACCCCGCTGTCATTTACATAGATGAGTCTGAGGTTGACCACGCGAGAAGCTCGTGGGCTCTCACGGCTCAGGTTGGAGCTAGAATTGTGAAGCAAGAATACAGGACTTGTGTCATCAGGCGCTACATGCTGTAGGATTTACTGGGAGGGGAGGGGAGGAGCATTTACTGACTAAAGGCTAAAAGTCTGGAGATGTGAACCAGTATCACTGCAAACGGTTATAAACCATAAGTGCTCTACCACCAGTACGGACAGCTGATAAAGAAACTGTCCGCCTGTGTTGCCGTTTGCACGCAACTCCGTAGCTACAGCGACGTTCCTCCATTTACCCCAGAGTGTTGACTCTGGCACCCATGACCTAGAGGCTGGGTGAACCCCGGAAACCACCTAGTTTTGAACACTGGCCGTGGGCTGCAGCGAGTCGCAGCTGGATTTAAAAGCGAGTCTTCTATCGACTGCGCTAAAGCACCCCCAGTTTATTGACTGAATGGTCTGATGTGCAGTGAAGATAATCTATCGACTAACTAACTAATGGTCTTTCTCTGCTGGGGGTCCGTCTTCTGGATCGTGATGATCATCTTTTTGACTGTTTATGATTTCACTAGGCCGTTTTATATTCAGTAGTCTGCCACTGCTTATTAAATTGTTGGCTCTCGCTATCACTGTTAAAAGCAATGCAAGGCGCTCTGCTGCCAAATCGCCTGCACCTGGGATTGAACATAGCAGTACAGAATTACAAAGCGAGTTCACAAATGCTAAGCCATAAAGGATTTATTTGATTGCACACAGAATGATCACCAACTGTAATCTATGGTGGAAAGTTCTGGTTGTTCAACCACTTCTGGACTTCAGTCTTATTCATATGCAGACCGTTGGTCCCTCACTTTTCAGGCAGACGTACTGTAACTTCAAAGGACATCCCTAATTAGTCACTTTTTACGACATGCATGTAGAAAGGGTTGGCCTCTGTGGCTTAGGCGTTCGAACACGCTTTGTAATGCCGGGGTGCCAGGTTCGATCCCAGCTGCGGGCCTTGTGCAGGTTACAACAGTGGTATTGAGAAGCCGACCGTCCAGAAAGCAATGGCAAACTACTGGACGTGAACTTGCCTAGAAAAACCACAACAGCAAAAAAAATGCTGGGGTTGGTTCTGCAATGTCCTGTAAATGATATGCAACTAGCTTTTTTGGTGGGAGGGGGTGTGGCTGCGAGTCTATCCCCCCCCCCCCCCCCAACCAACAAGAGGATCTTGGCTGTTAGTTTTCCTGGTTTAAAAGCTTTAGCTACCACAGCTTGCTTTGCATTTATTCCAAAAAGTGCCCAGACCTGTTCATGTTTCCCGGAAAAAGTATGAATGAAAGGTCAGGTAGTGTGTAGATGGGCCGACAAACGTGAAAAGGACCAACAGCCCCAAACAGGACAGAGAGCTTGAGGTCTTTACAGGTGCCTCACAGTTTGTCTTGCAGGGGGTAGCAGCTGTAGACCTGATATCTTTCTTTCTGACAAAGTCTGATCATCATGTAAGACATGCTCAGGTGTTTTTGATACACCACAACAAAACACAGCTGAGTCAGTAAGACCCATTTTATTTAGATGTGCTCTGAGCATACAGTGTCCCAAACTGTCAGAAAATTATGGAGTGTGCATCAATTAATCAATCATCAATAGATCAATCAATAAATCTACAGATCAATCATCAATCAATCACACACAGACCAATCAATCAATAAATCAACAGATCAATCACCAATCAATAGACCAATCAATCAATGATCAATCAATAGTCAATCATCTATAGATCAATCAATCAATAAATCTACAGATCAATCATCCACAGACCAATCAATCATAAAAAAATCAACAGATCAATCACCAATCAATTGATCGATCAGTCAATAATCAACTAGTATGTTCCCTCTGGGCTAGTACCTAAAGGTTTGCCATACTATTTTAAGATTAAAGAATCTCAGTCTGAATGGTACTTGATTCCGCTGTTCTCTCAAACACTTGCTCAGTCACACCGACCTCTTCTTTCCGCTGTCTCTCACTGAAAAACTATTAATTCTTTCTCATGCCCATTTGTGCACTTTCCTTCATGAGATTTCACACAATCTACTCATTCATGCAGAACTCAAACTCCCCCTTGGGACAAGCTTTCCTACTAATTCTTTCCTAACTGGCATTAAAACTCTTGACCTTCTCTATTGGGGAACCCCTTCTGATGTCACAGGACTTCCCACTCATTACAAATTATCTTACTCAACAACTCTTGGAGGGACTGTATATCCTTGCTACTTCCTGAAGTTGGCAACTGGCTTCTCTGCTGGATCAATTCACTCTTCAGAAATGTCCGATTGCATTTAAGGCACTGGTGGAGAAACATGTAGACTTATTTAATTCTGCTCAAAACAAAATACAACAGCGTTAAACTACGTTACAATCATAAAGCAAATTTTCTTGTATTGTTCATTTCAAACCTCCCGTTCAGTGGTTAGGGTGAAGCTTAGGCTTTTTTTTCCCCTGGCGGGATGCATCGTTTGTGTGTGTGCAGCTAACAGACCCTTTGTGGTGAGTACCGGCACCATTCTGTCTAGAAAAAAGGCCCTAGTGTAAGTAAACAGTAAAGTACATGAACCTTTCAACAAAAATGGTCAATCCAGTTTATGATGCCAGACCAACATTTTCTATAAACCAACTGGCACACAGTTGGTAATGTGGTCAACAACATACCAGCTGCCTTTACTTCCCAGGACATTACCTGGTATCCACTATAGGCTGTGTCAACATTGCAGCCAAGGTTAATTATGAAAAAAAAAAAATATCCGGCTCAATGTGGACTAGAAGTGGTTTAGTGTTCTTGCCAAGACCCAGGCTCGAATCTTCTTTAAGGCTTGTGTCTGTTGGGGGCAACAATTTAATCCTAACCTGTACGGTTCATGGCGACAGCACCAGCCATGCGATCCTAAATCCTCAGGTTCAAACATCGCTCCCTCTTTCCCCTTACACAGAGAAAAGTGGTCAATATACCCAGTTATGTCACTGTACTTGTTTGCAAAGAGATTTGTCCAATCCAAAGCAGAGGCTTCATTTTTTGCTCCAACCAGTACAACTGTGGAAGCAACAGTGGCGTAGTGGTTAGACACTCACTTCCAGTTGAACTACCTGGGTTCACGGAAATCCCCCCCCCCTCCCAGAAAAAAAAATTTACTATGCCTCCCAGGTCAACCAACTCTAAACTTGAAGTCGAGAGGATCGACTTCATAGCACTGAGTTTTATCCCATATGGTTCGGTCTCTCTCCGCAAAAATGGCTAGCCACCTGCCAAAAGCACTGCAAAAATGGATACCATTTAAAGATGGCCGGCACAATATTGTTTACCTCAGCAACCGAGGGCCGATTGGTCTCTAAAAATATCCAGTTTGGCATCATATTTCCTGACAGATCTTCTTCTTCTGCCCCTGCTGCTTACCCCGCAAAATGCCACAGAACAGAGTTGAGTCAAGAATTGACCTCACAGCACTCAGGACACTACCATATGCGCTCTGTCTCCATCTTCAGCAGCCAGTGAAGAGTTCCAATACTAATGGTACCGTTCGTAGTCTGGTTATACGTCTGTCTTGCCTTTCCTCTGAGTGTAGTGAGCTGGCCAGACCCTCTGGTCACACCCAGGTGCATAATTCTCTCCAGGCCATAATAATCTAGTTTCTCTTTCGACTGGGGTACCTGGGTATCACTTTCGATAAAAGCTTGTCCTATAGGGATCATGTGGATGCAGTTGCAGTGAAATGCCAAAAAAGGACTCAATGCTCTCAAGATTATGGCAGCAATGGACATGGAACAAAGAATGCTGTTCACAATGTTCCAGCATGTGATCCTGTCGGTGATAGATTATTTACTTGGAATGCTTACCATATCAAAGAGTTAACTGATGAAACTTGAACGCATATAGAATAAAGCCATGCGGGTAATTCTGGGATGCATAAGAAATACCCCAGTAGTATGTATGCAATATATACTTGCACTGCACTGCAGATAGGCTCACAATTCTGCAAGCAGTCATATCTACCTGCAGACAAGAAGCACCTCTTGCATGAAGCCCTGGGTAGATCTAAGGGTCACAGACTGAAAAAAGGAAGGTCTTGGAAAATGTCCGAGCAAGTTTCAGACTTGTGCAGGGTTCTTATCAGTTTAGGTCGTAAGTGCAGGGACTGGCCAGCTTGCGCAGCAGAATCAAAAGTTCAACAAATGATTCATGACAATTCATGCCCAGGTGATGTGATTATCTATACAGATGGCTCTGTGCTGAGGGACAGACAAAGTACATGGGGGGTTTATAGCAAAGGCGAATGGACATCGCTTAGTGCAGCAAAGCCTGGCATATGATATCACAACGCCTAGTTTGAGAATGGGGGTGGGGGCAGTCACTGCTGCCTTTCGCTGGCTTGAGAATCAATGTACACACATGTTGTGATTGTCACTGACTCACAGAGCATGTAGGGAAAGGTGGAGACAGGTATGCTCCGTGTATAGCGGCAAGCATCAATTCAGAGGTCACAGTTAGTTAGTATCCATTGGATATTCTCTTCAGGTTATGCCAGTGTGTTGTGAAATGAGCAGGCAGATAGATCAGCCGGTGTCAAGAGCAGTTTAACAACTACCAACATTCAAAGGCCAAATTTCAAAGAGCCAAACTGCAGGCTAGACGGAGAAGCTGGCAGGAAAAGACAAAGTCCCTAAACTTTGAAAGAGACACAAGGAAGTTGTGGAGGTTAATTAAGCAAATTAATGATGAGAATACAGGGAGAAATGGTTATATTGCACTGTGCAAAGAGGGAGCCATCCTAACAAGAAAACAGGCAGCTGACCACTTTGCAGATTCCTTTGCAGAAGACAGCAACATTAATGTCAGCCCAGAGAAACAGCGAGAGGTTCAAGAAAACAAACAACATACAAGACAAAAAGATATAATTCCTGAGGCACTGGTGGCAGCATTTACATCCAGCGAGTTAGAATTAGCAATATCAAAGCTGAGAATGGGAAAATCACCTGGAACTGATGGAATCACCAACGAAATGATCAAGAACCTTGGAACAACTGCCAAAATAAAGCTGCTACAGATCTTTAATCATTGTTGGACCAGTGGCAAAGTTCCTCAAATATGGAGAGAAGCAATCACAATACCTCTGCTTAAACCAGGAAAGGACAGTTCTGATGCCTCCAGCTATAGACCGATCAGTCTTACCAGCTGCCTCTGTAAAACAATGGAACGTATTGTCAACCTTAGACTCCAATGGTACTTGGAAAGTGAAAACATTTTCACGCCGCAGCAGGCAGGATTTAGACAGTGCTACTCCACAGAAGACCAGACAACTTACCTTTCACAAGAAATTGAGGATGCCTTCCAGGAAAAGAAGCTAGTGCTAACAGCATGGATAGATCTGAAGAAAGCCTTTGACAAGGTCTGGAAAGAAGGTCTACTGAAGAAACTGAGAGACTGCAGGGTGAATGGGAGTATGTACAAATGGGTCAAAGCATACTTGTATAACAGAAGATCCCGAGTACAGATAGATGGACTTAAGAGCAAGGAGGTGTCCTGTCCCCCACACTCTTCCTAGTCTATATCAACGACCTGCTTTCTGAACTACCCCATGGAATTAAAGCTGCAATGTATGCTGATGACTTGGTACTCTGGTGTACAAATGAAAATGCAACAGTGGCCACCAGACTGCTACAAAGAGCCATAGATGCAATGGCTAAATGGGCCGACAAATGGTGTGTCAGCATCAACATAGGCAAATGCAGCACCACTCTCTTTACCCTTTCTCCTAAACAAAAATCAGGCGCCATGCACATAAATGGAGTACCCCTGAGAGAGGATAAGGAGCCCACATACCTCGGCGTAACGTTTGATGATAGATTAACATGGAGAAAACACATCAACAAGGCAGCAACCAAAGCCAGAAGGAGGGTAGCCATTCTGAGAAATCTAAGTGGAACCACATGGGGTGCTAGCGGGAAAATACTTAGAAAAGTTTACCAACAAAGTGTTCGACCACATCTTGAATACGGATCAACAGCATGGAGTTCGGCATCAAAAAACCACATTGCAAGAATTAGACAAAGTGCAAAATCAAGCACTCAGAGTTACCACAGGCAGTATGAAATCAACACCTATAGCTGTGATGGAGAAAATGGGGATGACCCAAGCACTAAGTGAACGCAGAGACACCAAGATGCTTTTACAAGCAGAAAAGTTTCTTAGTATGCCCAGTCACCCTATGAATGAAAGATTCAAAAATTTAGCTTTGGGACGACTAAAGAGAAGTAGTTTTATCCACCAGGCCAAACGGCTCGGCAGACAAACCACTGATTTACCTGCAACTGATAGATCCTTAAATGCTGTCCCAGAACGGACCCCCTGGAGAGAGGAGTATAAGTTTCCAATACACATCAAGACTGAAGTGAAAGGGGTATTTGACAAGGAAGAACAAAACAGTGTGCAGCGCAAAACAGCCACCCTCAGTTTACTTGATGATGAATACCCGCAGAACCTTTGGGTCCGTGTTTACACAGATGGGTCAGCAGAAAGCGCAGTCAGAAACGGAGGTGCGGGAGTGTACATTGAGTATCCTAATAATACCAGGGATACAGCCAAATTACCAACGGGAAAGCACTGTCACAACTATGATGCAGAAGTTCAAGCCATCAAGATAGCGGTAGAGAAACTACTAAATACAGGGTATTTTTCACAACCAGTGGTATTCCTGACAGATGCAAAAGCAGTACTTCAGTCACTCCAGTCTGGAAAATTACCAAGCATACGGACACTGTTATCCGAACTAGGCAACCGCTGTAAATTAGTAATGCAGTGGATACCTTCCCACTGTGGAGTTCCCGGAAACGAAAAAGCTGATAAACTAGCTAAGGAAGGTGCAACTGAAGAACAACCTGACATACCAGTCTCTTATCAACAGAAGAAGAGAATGATCAAATCAATCAGAATGCCACCGAAACTGGCACAAGATGATTACCATATTATGGACAGACCAGAGCAAGTTATTATCCTTCGCCTTAGAACAGGGCACAATAGACTTCGCTCCCACATGTACAACAAATTTAAGATTGGCCAATCGGCCATGTGTACTTGTGGACTGGCACCTGAAACAACAGATCACATCCTTCAAGACTGTCCCATATTCAACGCTTTCAGGCAAAACATTTGGCCAAAAGAGACACTTGTGGAAGTCAAACTTTACGGGCCGCTTAGTGAATTACAAAAGACAGTGAAATTCATACAAGAGACGGCTTTGCAGATATAGACAATTTATTTCTTGCGAACGAAAGAAGAAGAAGAAGATCAGCCGGTTCTGCACCACCTGGTGGTGAACTGATTTATGACAAGACAGACGTTGTGAGGGCCCTCTGGGAGCGAGTGAACAGTGGGGAAGTGCAACTAGATCATTATGGTCTGAGGAAAATGGCGCTGCAAGGAGTTACCAGGAGATCTGGCCAACACTCAACACTCAAAGGAAGGGCGAGACGAATGTACAATCAGACAGTTACTGGTGCCACCGGAATTGGAACTCTTCGTTTGCTGCTGAAGATTGGGACAGAGCGCTGATAGGGGTGTCCGGAATGCTATGATGTTGATTCTTTATTTAACATTCTCTTCCGACTTCATTTCTTGTTCCCAAAGGGTCTTGACCACATCTGCCTTGTCTGCACCCAGTGGTGCATATCCAACCAATCCGTCTGCCTGTTCATTCCCCACCATGGTGGCATGCCTGGAGAAAAGATCTAAAGTATTTCCACCACACGTGATCTTCCAAGTGAAGCTTGCCATTTTTCCAAAAGCATTACTGTCTTCACTTTTCTCAGTATGCTTTCCATTACACTTACGACATGTGTATGCATCTTGTTCTAGAAAGCTGCAGTGACTGCCTCCACCTCCATTCTTATGCTAGAAGTTGTGGTATCATATGCTAGGTTGTCCTGCACTTAAATTTTCCATTGGCTATCGCAAAGAAATTCCAGGCACTTCTCTTCCCTCTCAATACAGAACCATTTGTATAGATAATCAGATCATCTGGACGAGAATAGTTACGAATCAACTGTCAGACTACCAGCTCCGTAGCACTTGCTGGCCTCCCTCCACCCATCTCTTTCTTGGTCGGCCTCTTGCCTTGTAGCCTGCTGTTCTCATGTAATCCTGTACTTTTACAGTACAGATGCCAAACTGCCTCACCTTCTCAAAAATGGATACAATTTTGTCTAATTTTTTGGGAAAACCCACTAACTGCTAGGTTTACCAACAAACTGAGAATAAAAATTCAGTCCCAGAACTTGATGATCAGCCAATGTATAAGGATCTGATTAGCCCTCGTATAGAGATTTGATCAGCACTCGTATAGAGATCTGATCAGTCCCCGTATAGAGATCTGATCAGTCCCTTATAACAGATCTGATCAGTCATCCTATACAAATCTGATCAGTCATTGTATACAGATCTGATCAGTCCTCCTATACAGATCTGATCAGTCTTCGTATAGAGATCTGATCAGTCCTCGTATAGAGATCTGATCAGTCCTCGTATAGAGATCTGATCAGTCCCCGTATAGAGATCTGATCAGTCCTCGTATAGAGATCTGATCATCCTCGTATACAGATCTGATAAGTCCTTGTAAAGAGATCTGATCAGCCTTCATATAAAGATCTGATCAGCCCTCGTATACAAATCTGATCAGTCCTCGTATACAGATCTGATCAGTCCTCGTATACAAATCTGATCAGTCCTCGTATACAGATCTGATCAGTCCTCGTATACAGATCTGATCAGTCCTCGTATACAAATCTGATCAGTCCTCGTATACAGATTTGATCAGTCCTCATATACAGATCTGATTAGCCCTGGTATACAGATCTGATCAGTCTTCGTATACAGATATGATCAGTCCTCGTTAACAATTCTGATCATTTCTCGTATACATATTTGATCAGTCCTCGTATACAGATTTGATCATTTCTCGTATACAGATTTGATCAGTCCTCGTATACATATTTGATCATTTCTCGTATACATTTTTGATCATTCCTCGTATACAGATTTGATCATTCCTCGTATACAGATTTGATCATTCCTCGTATACAGATTTGATCATTCCTTGTATACAGATTTGATCATTCCTTGTATACAGATCTGATCAGTCCTCGTATACAGATATGATCAGTCCTCGTTAACAATTCTGATCATTTCTCGTATACATATTTGATCAGTCCTCGTATACAGATTTGATCATTTCTCGTATACAGATTTGATCATTCCTCGTATACAGATTTGATCATTCCTCGTATACAGATTTGATCATTCCTTGTATACAGATTTGATCATTCCTTGTTTACAGATTTGATCATTCCTTGTATACATATTTGATCAGTCCTCGTATACAGATTTGATCATTCCTCGTATACAGATTTGATCATTCCTTGTATACAGATTTGATCAGTCCTTGTATACAGATTTGATCATTCCTTGTATACAGATCTGATCAGTCCTTGTATACAGATCTGATCAGTCCTTGTATACAGATCTGATCAGTCCTTGTATACATATCTGATCAGTCCTTGTATACAGATCTGATCAGTCCTCGTATACAGATCTGATCAGTCCTTGTATACAGATCTGATCAGTCCTTGTATACAGATCTGATCAGTCTTTGTATACAGATCTGATCAGTCCTTGTATACAGATCTGATCAGTCCTTGTATACAGATCTGATCAGTCCTTGTATACAGATTTGATCAGTCCTGGTATACAGATTTGATCATTACTCGTATACAGATCTGATCAGTCCTGGTATACAGATCTGATCAGTCCTCGTATACAGATTTGATCAGTCCTTGTATACAGATCTGATCAGCCCTTGTATAAAAATCTGATCAGCCCTCGTATACAAATCTGATCATCCTCGTATAAAATTCTGACAAGCCACTGTATAAACATCTGATCAGCTCTTGTGTAAGGATCTTAACAATCAGTTCACACGAACCTGCATGGGAACCATAATCTTGGCTTTCTCCCGATCCTCCCTTGATTCTAAGAAAGGCTGAAGGTATCCAAGAATTACCTGTGGGGCAAATGTGCTTCTTGTTTAACAACAATATCAATGCCCTTCTACCCAGGCACACATTATATAATTGTGTTTTCTATAACGTAAAGTATCTAATGACATCCTTTATGGTGAATTAAAGATGGGTTGAAGATGCTGAGGCCAGCCTCTACTACAGTATAAATATGTATGTAAATGGGACATGAATGATACAGGAATTGTGGCAGATTCACAGAAACAGCATACAATGAACCACATGTTTAAACAAACAAAAACTAATGGGCGATATCATATATCAGATATATATATCAAGGTCAACCTCTGTTACACTATTACTATGTATGCAAGTGGGACATGAATTACACAGGAACTGGGGCAAACTCATGAGAACAGGATACAATAAACCATATGCTTTAAAAAAAAAATTCACATGAAGTTCAGCATCTACCAAACTATAAATATTAAAGTCGAGAAGATTGACTTTATTGCACAGGTTTAATCCAATTTGGCTCGGTCTCTCTCTGCAGAACAGCTTGTCGCCTGCCCAGAGCGCCACACAGAGCACGAACTCCATAGCTCCAGTGACGATCTGCAGGGATCTCCGCAAAACTTAACTTGTGAACAGAACAGTGCAGCTGTGGAATTAACCCATGACCTTCAGAACTCGAGGCAAATGGATTGACCGCTGTGGAGACTACATGAATGATACTGACAGTGAGGCAGATTCATAGGACCAAGATTCCCCGTGTGGGTTCCAGGGCCCTACTATGGGAAAAACAAGAATAGACCCACTGCCTATCCAAAAGCATGTCGTAAGAGTCAACTAATTGGGAGCTTCCTTCGAAGTCGGGGTGCATCTGCCTGAGAGGCAAGGAACCAACAGTCTGCATACAGATCTGTCAAATGGATGCACAGAAGTGGATGAACAACTAGAACTTTCCGCCGGAGTTTACAGCCGGTGAACGAGAAGAAGATAGGACCAAGATACAAAAGAGCATGTGCATCCAAAAAAAAAAAAAAGTGCTATATCAGAAGTTTTAATACTAAATGCTAGAAATGTCCTGGGCAGTAAAGGCAAGTAATGTACTATTCACCACCATCATACATGACTGCCAGTTAGTCTAAACAAACTTATGGGTCTACAACCACAAGCTTGTGGCACCAGTGGCGTGAGCAGTGTCCTTCATTTGTATGAAGAAATATATAGTTTCTCCAATAATGAGACAGGGCCTTAAATTTACTGTCATTACATTATTAAAGGGGATAAAGGGGAGCCGTATTAGCGCAGTCGATAAGAAGCTCGCTTTCAAATCCAGTTGCGACTCGATGCAGCCTACGGTCGGTGTTCGAAACCGAGCGGCTCCCGAGGTTCACCCAGCCTCTAGGAAATGGGTACCAGAGTGATACTGGGGGGTAAATGGAGGAAAGTCGCTGCAGCTACAGAGTTACATGCGAACGGCGACGCAGGTGGACAATTCTTATCAGCTGTCCATACTGGTGGCAGAGCACTTATGGTTTATAACCGTGTGCAATGACGCTGGTTCACATCTCCCGACTTTACCTTTACTTTTTTCCACATTAATAAAGACAGTTAAGAATAGAAGATAGCTTAGAATGCCTTTCACTTGTGCAGCGGTTGTGTTGTGGTATCCAATATGGCCGGTAGCTGTTTTTTACAGTGGGCTGGTAAAATACCTTATGTTATACTTCTACGTGTGTATAGCCAACTTATCGTGCTAGACTACTTCCACTGATGATAAACTACATTTCTGGTGGCAACTGTTGGCTTTGGCGCATCTAGCAATTGAAGATTGCATTTACTGCGTGCACATATTTCTGGATTGTTGCGGAACTAACTACACCAGTTTTTCAAATGCGATAGTGAGGGACATTGCATCTGATTTTGACTGGCACAGGAGCAGAGCAAGTTTGGGAAACTTGCTTGCAGTGAAGTTGAAACCTCGACTTAGACAAAGACTAGGACTAAGACGGCTTAGAGCTTATTTCAAGTGTATACCTTTTTTAAGTGAAGAAAAGCCATCTCTATCTACTTTCTTTGATAACATTTACTAGCGATATTCTGTTTTCCTCCTTAGATCTCAGATATTTCACCCTTGACCATTTATAAAAGTATCTAGTTTGTGTGTAATTCTTAAGACTATGTAAATAGATCATACTTACATTTCCATCTGTGGCATCCACGATATAGCTTCGGCTCTGCCGATTTCTCCTTACATAGTCAAACTTGAGGTCTAGCTGAAAGCTCTCAGCCATGTCCACAGCTTCCCCTCTCAACAACTTCACGTGGTCATCTGGCCTTGTAACATCTGCACTGCTCTCGGACTGGTTGAGTGGTCTGGTTACCTTCCTCCAGTCCATGCCTGTCAGACTGGCCAGCTGTAGCTTCTCTGTCACCTTCCCCTGGATATTCTTCTCGACCAAGAAGGAAGCTGTCAGAGACAAGATGATCATCTCGTTGGCTTGCGAAGAAAGTGTTGCAAACACTGGTTCTATCACTTCTTCCTCTTCTTCGTCTACTGAAAGAGAAATTTTTTAATCAGTTTAGTTGTAGAAGGTCAAAACTACTGTTTAAGGAAGGAGATTTTTTCATTCATGTATTTTGAGAAGGTCACAACTACTGTTTAAGGGAGGCATTTTTCAAATTCATGTATTTCAAGAAGGTCAAAACTACTATTTAAGAAAGGAATTTTTCCATTAATCTATTTAAGGAGTGGATGTTTTTCATTCATCTATTTCAAGAAAGTCAAATCTACTGTTTAGGGGGTGAATGTTTTTCATTCATTTATTTCGAGAAGGTTAAAACTACTATTCAAGGGACAGCAGAAATCAGCACACTGTTTCTACAATAGCCAAATACACACTCCTTGTAGAAAACATATATGCTGTCAGAGTTCTTTTGTGTGTCTCTGACTAAACATAAGATGTAAAACGATACATGTTTTATATAAGCTTAAATAATCTCTGAGCACTCATAGTGAGTCTCCTGGGATATCATGAGCTAAAAAGAGAGTGGTCAGTTGACTGTGAAATGTCAACATATATTATATGATAGAAATAGCCAACTTATCGTGCTAGCTTACTTCCATCAATGAAAAACTATATTTGTAGTGGCGACTGCTGGCTTTAGCTTCTCAGACAACTGCTAAATGCATTTACTGTGTACACATATTTCTGGATTTTTCAGGGACTAACTGTTTGTACACCAGTTTTTTCCTCAAATGAGACAATGAGTGACATTTCATACATTTTTTCACTGGCACAGGAACGGAGCAAGTATGGTGAAACCAGATTGCGGTGAAGCTGAAACCTCGACTAGGAATAAGACTACATGACAAAAGGACAAGAGTCAATTTCAGCATAAAAGAGAGACAAAAGAGAAGTGAACAAAGGTCACCAGGTTAATTATTCGCTCGATAATAGTACTAAAACCCACCAAGAAATGAAACAATATGCTATTTAACCAGACTGAAATCCCCTTCCCCTCTTTATTTTTTTTTCAAAACTAGCTAGGCAGACAGAGCAGAAAATTAAGGGGGCATGAGGTAATGTTAATCGTTATCAAATAAGCGGCAGATGAAAGTTAACAGTGAAAAGAATAAATATTAAAATACAACAGTTATTATTATAATTAAATATAACATTAAAATTCTCCACCAGTTACAAACACTGGTTCCATCATTTCTTCTTCTACTGAAACGAAAAATTTTAAACAAGAGATTTTTTTTTTAATTTGCTGTGAACTGTCATGATTCACTTTAAGACAGAAAAATTCTCCATGTGTTTCCGAGGTCCCATTTTGGGTGAAGAAGAAAACAAAGAAAAGACCCACTGATCCTCTCAAAAAGCACATGGTAAATGTTTCGACTAAGCACCAGTTCACACGCAAAACCTACTCAATATTTAGCACTAGTTCACATGACAAACCTACCCAACATTTAGCACTAGTTCACATGACAAACCTACTCAACATTTAGCACTAGTTCACATGACAAACCTACTCAACATTTAGCACTAGTTTACATGACAAACCTACTCAACATTTAGCACTACACATGACAAACCTACCCAACATTTAGCACTACACATGACAAACCTACTCAACATTTAGCACTAGTTCACATGACAAACCTACCCAAATCCGGCGAGCTGGGAGGGCTAGTCTGAGATGGAGTACAATCAAAACCTATCTTGGCTTTGCCTGTGGCTGAAGTGTTAAGATCCCTGACTGTTTTAGGAGCAAGTGCTTCGCTCTGAGAACTGAGTTCAGCAGGTTGGGAACACAGAGACCCATTATTCCCTGTGAACTTGTTAGCCATCTGAGGTACATTACTTGGTGAAATAGGTCTAGTATCATTCTCCCCAGTTTTGTGGTTTGTAACCAAATCATTTTTACTGCCAATTTCTGCATCTATATTATCTGAAGCTTCAAATTCAGAAAAAGATGGTGCATTTGTCAACACATATCTACTGTGGTTTGTTATTACACCAATGAAAGAATGTCTAACTTCACTTTCACTGTTTTCTGCTTCAGTCTTGAGAGACGAGAATGCTGCAACCCCCATGCCAGATTTATTCCCTTCATCGGTACTATCGCTTGAGTGCCCAGCAGCCAATCTGGCAATTGCAGCCATGATTGGGTTATGCGTGTCTCTGATGCCTGTGTCTGTGAGGTACAGGTCGTCATCTGTCGGAATGACTTCCTCATCAACACACCTATTTGACCAGCAGGTACTGTGTTTATCATCTTCTCTTCTAGTGTCAGATTTTTTATCAAAACCACTGTTACTTTTAGAGCCAATAATAAACTTGGTGCCACCGCCGTTATCCGACTCAGTGTTTTCCAAGTCCGATGACTCCACTGTTAGAGCGACTAGGGCTGCTTTTTTCTTGTTGAATATATCTCTGTCTTCAATTGCCTGTGGGGGGAAAAAAAAGAAGACATTAATCTTTTTTATTAACGACTATTACACAGAAGAAGAAGAAGCAAAATATGCACTGTTCAGCAAGATGTTCATCCTATTCTATGCTATAAGTGAAAAATGTGGTCACTAACCGCAAAAGAAAAAAGAGGAAATGGAACAAGAGTGATGAGTTAATCAGTGGAAAGTAGAAATTCTAAGCTTCAGAAAAACATAATTATAAGTGACAGAATAGAAACTGTGGTTAGAAGGCATTCATCAGCACAGAAAAAAGCACACATTTATATGGACAGTGAACATAATGATAATCACATATACAGCTTCTCAAACAGTAATTCTAACCTTCTAGATGGTCACCCATGCACAACAGACATCTGCTGTTGATCAGCAAGAAAAAAGATAAAGACACTGTGTTTCTGCGTGCTTTAGAGAGGAAAAAAAAGAGGCAGAAAGAGAGAAGCAGATGAAGAAAGAGAGACAGAGACAGAGTGAGAAAGAGAGAGAGAGAGAGAGAGACATGTTGACAGAGATAAAGACCAAAAAAAAAAACAGTTTTAGAGCATCTTTTTTATGCCTTGAGGAATGTTAAATGTTGAATCAAGAATCGATATCATAGCAGTCGGGACACTCCAATAAGTGCTCAGTCCCCATCTTCAGCAGCAAGCGAAGAGTTCCAATTCTGATTGGTACCAGTAACTGTCTGATTGTATATCCATGCCATCCTTCCCTTCAGTGCGGAACCTCGGCCAGACCCCCTGGTTATGCCTTGAGGTAGATACTGTAGCAGATGTTAGAACTACATTCATACAGACCAGTCAGCATGAGGGCGGTGTTGTCAACCACCTTTACTTTACAGGCTGCACAATGGTGCAGTGGGGAGTGACCAGAGGCAACTGGCCGACACTAGACACTGACCAGAACGGCAAGATGGACATACAATCAGACTTGCACTGGTACCATAATACTGGAACTCTTCACTGGCTGCTAAAGATGGGAACAGAGCGGTTAAGGAAATGACCTGAGTGCTGTGATGTCAGTCTGAAAGCAACAGATACTCTTCTTTATCTATGTTTCTGTCAACTCCACCATCATCAAAATCAATAAAATCGTCAGTAAGAGATGTGACAAAGAGATAGATTTGCACAAGACAATTACAACGCTTATCAATTTATCTCCTGGCACCAGTTGTATACCAGCGTCTGTGGCTTAGGTTTGCGAACGCGATTCGTAATGCCAGTGTGACAGGTTCAATACCAGCGCCTTGCGTTGGTTTGACATTGGTATCAAAAACCCGACCGCCCAGAAATAAACGGCAAACTACTGGACGTAAATTTGCCTAGAAAAACCACAACAGCTAAAAAATGCTGGGGTTGGTTCTGCAATGTCCTGTAAGGGATACGCAACTAACTTTTCAACCAGTTATATGGGATTTAGCAGAGCCATCTTAACAGCATTATGGGCCCCTGGGAAAACCAGCGTGCAGGGGCCCCTACGACAACCACTCGCTTAACATACACAGATTATCATGGGGCCTCTATGCTTATGCCCCTCTCCCCCTCCCCAAGGCAAGTGACCAGCAGGCCCTGACATTAAGACAGCACTGGGATACAGACAGAAATCTCACCTGTAGCCAGTTAGATCCATAATGCCTCCTGAGATCCTCCACCTCTCTCTGTGTGTGCATGGCCTCCTCTCTGCTGGCTTTCAGCTGCTGCTCAAGACTCTGAGGGTGGGGGGTTGTTCCTTGGGAGACACAACAGAGAAACATGACATGAAGCAGACAGACACAACAGACAGGAAGCAGACAGACACAACAGACATGAAGCAGACAGACACAACAGACAGGAAGCAGACAGACACAACAGACATGAAGCAGACAGACACAACAGACATGAAGCAGACAGACACAACAGACATGAAACAGACAGACACAACAGACATGAAGCAGACACAACAGACATGAAGCAGACACAACAGACACGAAGCAGACTCCATAAGTTCTCGGTGTGGGTTCCCAGGCCCAATTGCAGAGAAAAAAAAAAGATTCACTGCCCCCTAACAGAGAATGTCGTAAAAATCAACTAATTAGGGGGAGCTTCATCTGCTGCCTGAGAGCTGAGGAACCAACAGTCTGCATATAAATAAACTGGACCTGTAAAAAAGATATGCATGCAAAGTTCAAAGTTCTGGAACAAGACTAAAGTCTAGAAATGCATGAAGATCCAGAACTTTCCTTCAGAGTTTACAGCCAGTAAATGCTAAGAAGAAGAGAAGAAGAAACTCCCAAAGTAAAAGTAATCCCACGGCATGGTGCAGTAATAAGGCTGAAAATAAGATCCGCCTTATATAAATATTCGCTTTTAAAATTGCAGTATGGCTTATTTTTTAAGGATGTCCTTTTTATGGCTTAAAAAATCTACATTTATGCGTGTATAAAATTTTACGGACAACTAAGTTTTCTGGGCCCTGCCGCGCCCATTTATACACTACAAAGCGTTTCATTTATAGCCATTCGCCAAGTTGACTTCTGCGAAGGTAAGAGGGGTGTCGCCTTGGCTGTGTCAGATCGGCGTCATTTTATGACATACATTTACGACCTTAGCACATCCAGAACTCAGTCTCTCGTAATGAGACCTCTATACTACAGCAAGTCAGCGATTTAAAGGCCGCAAAAAATCTGCTGCTGGGCCTAACCTAAACTCCTAGGTCTCACGAGACAGTGCATTCTACGTGTCGCTGCAGACACGGAACTTTACCCTCTGCAATAAACTCATTGCCCTCAGCGCTGATAACTCCAGCAGATTCATATCGTAGTTGTTGAATTCCCAAACGCCACAATATCTGCAGTTATGTGAGAATAGCGACTACACATTAATACAGTGTGTTACTTCCTGCGCTCCAAAATATAGGTAATAATATCTGACACCTCTGGCACTTCAAATTCAGTGCCTGACAGCTTAAGGCAGAGACTAAATGTCCAATCAGTGTTCTGTCCCGCCTCTGTCATTCATAAATGTGAACCTGGGCGGGGCCAGGGCCCAGAAAAGTGACTTGTTCCAAATTCCACATTTAATTAAAGTCATGCTATCTTCTTCATAACTCTCCGAATTCCAGCCTGCATTTCTTGTGGCTCCATGTCCTCTAGAACCATTGGTCCTAGTCTCTCATGTCCAGCAATAAATGGCTTGTTTTTTAGGCATGGCTAATATTACAAGCGGTTTTCTAAATGGCAAATAGCAGCAGTGTTATTTTTCGATGGCTGTGATTTCGTTCAGATTTTTTTCCTGCTCCTTATCATGGACTGCAATTTTGTGCGCATTTCCAAAGCAGGATACCTTGTATTTTTCATGTAAGCAGCGTGTATTGTGGTTGTGCTACGTCGGGGTTGGATATTGACATATAGATTTGGCAGCCACGACAACAATGCCTTCGCAATGTTTCGATCGCAGCGGTCAATTATCCGGGAAGACAGAATCTCACCAGCAGGCGACCGCAGCTGTGTAGAGAGTAACCTCAATAAAAGTTGTCCCCTAAACAGAATGTGTCATCTATTTTGTTGTTGTTGCTGCTGGTGGTGGGGAGGAGTTGATACACTCTAACGTGTTTAATTCCAAGACTGTCAAGCACCTGGAAGTCAAGAACATTCAGCAAACACACAAAACTTAAGATCTTCAATTCTTGTGTGATTCCAGTGCTAACCTATGGATGCGAGAGTTGGAAAGCAATGGTAGCTCTAGATAACAGTTAGACAATTTTGAGAACAGATTCCCTAGAAGAATTCTAAATCTCACTGGACTGATTTCAAATCCATTGCGCAAATAAGACATGAGACCAAGCGAGATAATGTACTCAACTTTATAAGAAAGCGCCGCTGGAACTATATCGGCCATGCACTCAGAATGCACAAGACAAGACTTCCCTATCAAGCCCTCATGTGGACACCGGAAGGGAACAGAAAACAGGGAAGTCAAAGTGAGACCCTACGTAGAACCATCATCAGGGAAGCCTCAACCATGGGCCTAACAAACATCCAAGACCTAAAACAGGTGGCAACAAACCTCCAGACATGGAGAGCTATGACCTCTGACCTATGCGACCTATAGAGAAAGACTAAATACTAGACACATACAGTTAACTCAATGGCCATGGCTATATTAAAAGCATACTAAAAAAACATTCTATGACCTATTTTTTGGGTAGATCTTATTTTAAGGGAGACACAGTTGATCAGTGTTATGAAGCACAGCAGAAAGTTCCCTTCCTCACTGTATTATTAGAATTAATTAGAAGAAGACAATCTACAGTCTTTGGTCATAACATGAGAAGGAGAAAATTGGAGTACACTGTGATCGGTGGGTAAGTTGGAGGAGAGAACAGGCAAAGGGAGACAGAGAGAAAAGATGCTGGACAGTTTGACATCGTGACATGGAGGATCATCTTTGTCGGAATTGATTTTTGTGGACAACACAAGACATGCAGTAAAGAAGACGTAAAAGAATCAACAGTGAAAGCACAGACATGAGAAGGGAAAAACTACCAAGAAGGACGAAATAGAAGAACACACAAACATGGACTAAAAGAAAAAGAAGAAGAAATAAGAAGACTGGGAAATAGAAGAACAAAAACAAAAACTTTCTTGTTTAGGGTCACAAATGAAAATATACATACATGAATATATTTGCTCATACTTACACACACCCATACACACAAAAACTGACACACAAATCATACACATGCACACCTACGTATATACTAATTTAAACAAAAACACTCATAAACAAACATGTGTAAAAAAGAAGAAAGAGGAGGAGGAGGAGGAGAAGCAGAAGAAGCAGCAGCAGCAGGAGAAGGAGGAGCAGAAGAAGAAGGAGAAGAAGAAGCAGCAGCAGAAGAAGAAGGAGAAGAAGAAGAAGAAGGAGAAGAAGAAGAAGAAGAAGAAGAAGAAGAAGAAGAAGAAGAAGAAGAAGAAGAAGAAGAAGGAGCAGGGGAAGAAGAAGGAGGAGGAGGAGGAGAAGAAGAATAAGAATAAGAAAAAAAAAGAAGAAGAAGAAGAAGAAACAGAAGAAGAGTTCATTTTCTTCTAAATATTTGGAGAAGAGACACAGACAAAAGAGTACCTGGAGTCACATCCCGACTCGAAGATATGTCCTCGGAGTGCTCCGCGTCAGATATTTCCATGTGTCTGGCTTTTAGTCTCTTGCGCCTGCCTTTCTTTTTACTCGTATAAGTCACCACTGAATTTTCACTGAAAGTCAACAATTTTGTTATTTTGAAACATCAAATCAAATGGTTTGGACATGTGTCAAGACTACCACCAAACAGTGAAACCACAGAGAGCCCTGCCACTGAGGCGCAACAGAAACTGACCTAGAGGTCGACCACTCAAGCGATGGACAAATGGAATGTCCGAGGCTGTAAATACCAGCTTCTAAGCAGCACATACCAAGACTGGCAAATGATGCCTCTCCAAACCTGATGCTGAAAGGCAGAACAGGGTTAGAGAAAAAGGTTAGTTGCGTATCCTTTACAGGACGTTGCAGAACCAACCCCAAACAGCCACTGGCTGTTGTGTGTTTTTTCTAGGCAAATTTACGTCCAGTAGTTTGATATTGCTTTCTGGACGGTCGGCTTTCTTGATACCACTGTCAAAACCAAAGCAAGGCGCATGGCCCGCAGCTGGGATCGAACCCAGCATCCGGGCATTACGAAGCATTCGCATAGACTTAGCCACAGAGCCGACTCTGATATAGAGTAACTGAGAAATTAAACCAGGCTTATTGTGGGAACATTGTGAGATAAATAAATCGAGAAGTTTCTCCTTATTTCTTCACATTTCTCCTACTTCTCCACATTTCTCTTATTTCTTCACATTTCTACTTCTCCACATTTCTCTTATTTCTTCACATTTCTCTTATTTCTTCACATTTCTGTTATTTCTTCAAATTTCCCCTTTTTTTTTAAAGCATTAACCTGCTGTAAACTCTGGAGGAAAGTTCTGGTTGTTCGTTTACTTCTGGACTGTAGTCTTTTTTCCAGAACTGAAGTTTTCTGTTTTTATCCAGTTCACAGATCTAGTTTATTTGTAGGCAGACAGCTGGTTCCTCACTGTTCAAGCAGACAGCTGGTTCCACACCGTTCGGGCAGACAGCTGGTTCCACACCGTTCAGGCAGACACATCCTGACTTAGAAGAAAACACTCCTATTTGGTCACCTTTTACAACATGCCGGTTAATGGGGGCATTGGGTCTATTCACCCACCGTCCCAAAGGGACCCAGGAACCCATACTTTTCTTTAACTTATCCCCTTCAATGTTCACAAATTGTCTCAGACATCTGTCACCATGTGGTCAGACGCTAAACAAAATATACCTTCTCAAAGGAACATCTGAACCAAAAGCCGCTGAGTCTGTAAATAAATGTTTTAACCCCGACTCTAACGGGTTCTTTACACAAAGTAAGCCACACACAAAGTAAGCCACACACAAAGTAAGCCACACACAAAGTAAGCCAAACATAAAAAATCCCTTTCATACTGGTTGTGCATCAAGCATATGATGCTTGGCTCATATTGGTATACCGGCTGGCACTTGATAAGTGATGCAATCAGCATCCTGCCGAATGCCTTTACTTCCCAGGACAATACCTGGTACCCATTTTAGGTTAGGCTTATGTGGCAGCCAAGAACAGTTTTGAATCCCACAGACTTAACTCATCTTTAAAAAGCAAACAAAATATCATCATCATCATGTGAACAGCCAACTGGCGTAGGCACTCATGCGTCTCCACAGATCACGATCCCTGGATCAGCTCTCTTGATGATATCGCTCCATGCCCTCGTTTCAGCCCATCCAGCATCTCTCTCTCTTTCGGTCTGCCTCTATCCCTTTTCTCACTGATCTTTCCAGTTGTCACGATGTTCTCCAATGTCTCTCTTCTCATTATGTGGCCAAAGAACAGTGTTCGTCTCTTTCCTATTGTTGTATATAGAGATCTACTTTCATTAGCTTCTTTCCAGCAACTGTTGTTAGTTACTCTGGCCGTCTAGGGCATTCATAACATTCATCTCAGAAACCACATCTCAGATTACAAATTTTGCTTAATTTGTTCACTGACATTCTAAGATTCGCTGCTATACAGCAGAGAGAGAGAGAGAGAAAAAGACAAAAACTAACCTTTCATTCTCTGTGCCAATGTCTGAAGATGCTGACACATAGTAGCCACTATCTGGCGTATGACTCCTGGCTGTTACCTCTCTAATGTAAGACAAGTGTGATGCTCTGCATCTTTTCACAGCTGCTTTCTGTAGGATTATAAATGAACGAATGAACTTTATTTTCAAAGGGTCACAAATTGGGCACGCAGGCAGGTCAAACTGGACGCTAGGCAAGGTTACTGTTTTGAGCCGTGACAAATTTTTTGCTTCTGCCAGACGGTGGCCGTTGCATTTTTGCTCTATTTGTAGACTGAGAGGATAAAGTTTTGTCACCCAGCTACTGAGTTGAGTGCATGACATGACACTGTGAGCTGCAGATTTCATTTAGAATGTTTTTCCACTATAACCAACGGTGGTGTTGTGAATTGTAGATTCAGAAAAGGACGTGTGGCTTGTCATTGCAATATTGTTGGTGCCCTTATGTGATTAAAATGTATTGTGTGTGCAACTGCTGATCTGTTGGTAACTTCTGCTACCGTCAATGATGAACTGCAATTCTAATGTCAGACTGTTTGTGTTAGCATTTCCTATGGCTACTGTATGCTTTTAATGCGTGTGTATGCTAATGGATATGCTGAGGCAGCAGTCTGTAAATCTTTCCACAATAGACTGTGATGAACATTCTGTGTTTTCCGTTGGCACAGGAGCAGAGCAACTATGTGGTGACCAGTTTGCTATGAAGCTGAAACTAAGATTACCAATGCCTGTCTTACATTCGGTCCTTTCAAACACCCGTCATCAGGTACCATTAGTTCTGTGAAGCTGACTAGTTGTCCTTTTACTTCTGCCCACAAGTTAACACAACTTAGCTCAATTTGTTATCGAAGAAAAATAAAAACAACGAAACAATTCACATACTAACATAACAATGCAAACTGCGAATACTCACTGAAATTTCTGATGCTGTAAGTCTCTTCTTGTCTAGCTCAAACTGAAAGTAGGCACATCAATAGGTGAAAATAAAAACAACACTAGAGTTGAGTTGATAAAAAAAAGGCATCACAGCACACAGGGCATTCCCATAAGTGCCCTGTCCCTATCTTCAGCAGCCAGTAAAGAGTTTTGATACTAATGGTGCCAGTAGCATTCTGATTGAAAGAAACATCTGTCTTGCCTTTCCTCTGAGCCTCGAGCATCTCCCAAAACCTTTCGTCACTCCCCCCTGCAACAATCTCCCCAGACTGGTGATCCACCTGCTCCTCCGAACTGTAAATGCTCTCTCCCACAAGGCACTACCCACGTCTGCCGTATCACGTGCAGAGCCAGCCAGCCTGCCTGCCTGTTCATTTTTTACCAGCGTGTCCCGGTGAAAAAACCCAGACAATACTCCTCACCCGTGTCCACCCCAGTGAAGCATGCTACTCTGCATGAAGCATGCCTGTCCTGACCTTCCTCAGCATGCTTTCTGAGTCAGTTATAATCACGATGTGTGTGTGTGTTGTGTTCTCCAACTAATAGAAAGCTGCAGTGACTGCCTCCAACTCCATTCTTAAACCACACCAAGAAACTAGTTAAACTGCTAAAAAAAAAAAACATTATTATGTTATCTCCTCTTTCTAATTATAAATTCTTTTCATCTCCTATCCTGTTCCTTTCTTCCTCTCTATAAATGCCTTTCCTCTTCCTTAACAGGTCTCTTCCCTCTTCTTCCTCTATAGAAACACCTTCCATCTTATTTATTAGCTATATTCCCTTTTGTATCACTGTAAATTCTTTTCCTCTCATTTACTAAGTTCCTCCCTTCTTCTTCTTCCTCACTATACATTTCTTCTAAATTTTTCCTCACTAGAAATTCTTTCCACCTGCTTTACTTATGTTCCTTCCCTTTTTTTTTTTACTATTTCTTTTTCTTTCGTTAGCTTGAAATAGATTATCTGTGCAATGTTGTCTCTAGTATAAACTTCACTCAGCGACCCGTAAAGTTTGAAATGCACCGATGTTTCTCTTGGCCAAAAGTTTGGGTTTTGCTTCAAAATGTTTTATTTAGGACAGTCTTGGAGGACATGATCTTTACTATCTTTTCCTCCCTCTGTTCTTTACTTTCCTTCACTCTTACTTTCTGACCTAATACAGGCCTTGCACAAGAAACATGTTTAGGTGACCTCAGTTCAGTATACTGTTTGGGTCAAGTAGAAACAGGCCTAACCCATTTATCAAATCAGCTATCTAGAACCTAAAACTCCCTGTGTGGGTTTCGGGGCCCAATTGTGGGGAGAACAAGAATAGACCCACTGCTCGCCCAAAGGCATGTCGTAGGAGTCGACTAATTGGGAACTTTCTTCGAAATCGGAGTACATCTGCCTCAGAGGCGAAGAACCAACAGTCTGCACACAAATTAATTAGACCTGTGAAATGGATGTCCATGGGACACTTATTTTCTGGAACAGGACTAGAGTTCAGAAGTGGACAAGCAATCAAAACTTTCCGCCGAAGTTTACAGCTGGTGAACACGAAGAAGAAGAAGAACCTCAAACAACATAATGTGCACAACAGTGAACATAAATATTTTTATTTTGTGCATTTCGAGTATGATTTTTAATCTCAAAAATTAAGCAAATTATGTTTTTCCTCCCATTAAATATGAAAGCTTGGCACACTCACTGGACACTGCAGACTGAAACATTCATATCATTTACGCATGAGCCAGTGTCTTCAAGCTAAACAGACCCCAAAACAAGTCTTTCAAGAATATCCTTTTTCAGAGCAGCTTCTTTCTTCTGCCTTTCTAACCCCCAATGGAGATTAAGCCCATAACCTATAATTCCAGCTAAATCGTTCTATCCTTCGCTATCGCATACACCTCTTCTCATGTTCTCCCTATCTTTTTAACTTCCCTCTCTAGCTCCATTCTGCATGCACTTTTGGTCTTCCTTTATTTCTATGCCTCTGTGGGTTGCACTGCAAAGTCATGTTATATTGCTCTAAGGGTTTCTCAGCGTTTGTCCTATCCAACACCAGCATCTTTTCTTCACCTCTTGGTCCACTGCAACTTGTTTAGTTCTCTCCCAAAGCTCTACATTAGTGATTCTATCATATCATTTAATTCCCTCTATTCTGCTCAGACATCAGTTAATGAATGTTTATAGTTTTTTTATTAATTGACTTCGGTGTTCTCCATGTTTCCGCTCTATACAACAGTAATGATCTGACATCATAATTAAAGATTTTTAATTTAATAATAGTTTTAATTTCCTTTGACCTCCACAAATTTCTTAGTGCTTTTGCCTTATGTATTCGTTGTTTTATATTTCAGTTCCCCTATCTTTATCTACATCTTTTGGAGCAGCTGCGAAGCAACATGTGAACCCAGCAGACATGACAACTAGCTTTGGAGAAAAACCTAAGTGACCTTGAGCTGTCATCCCAGTTTATGGATCCCACGGTGGATAAAGTGTGTGACCAGAGATCACTGAAGAAGAAGAAGAAGTGTGAAAGGCATGATGTGTACTAATAACTTACCTCGAGACTAACAGCCGTCAAAGCCAAACAGGCAACTGTTAACAGTCTGTGCTGTTTGTGATAAAACACAGGGTTGCCATCTAGTTGCAGCTGAAATGTGAAAAGAAAAAAGGAAGTAATTTTCCTGCACTGACTTCTGCTCTTGAGACAGATTAACTGATGAGATAAGTTTAAGAGGTTTAATGTTTATCTCGTGCATGAGATGGTAATCATGATTCAAAACTGGTGTGAAAAAGACTGAAGCTGGACTGGGATGACCAACTTCTGTTCTGAAGACAAACTCACTGCCAAAGTCAGAGAATGGATATGCGAAGACTGATGTCTGACTGTGAGGATAACATAACATAACCCTTGACCCATTAGGGTCGGGGAAGTGTATTGATGGAAGCACTAGTACTTAAAACTCGCCATCTTTCTATCTCTTCCGCTTGATATTATAAATAAGTGTATGATAGCTTAGACCTGTCTATTTCTTGTTGTAATTCTAGGCTCCTCTTCTTCGACCCCCCCCCCCCCTCAAATTGTTCCTTGAAGTACAGTCTTTGCAATGAAATCATGTCTCACCACGTGCCCAAACCAAGCTAGCTTGCAATGTTTCACCACTGCCAAGAGAGGCTCCTGATGTCCCGCAAAAGTTTGTACATTTTTTCTCTGACAAAAAGGATAAAGGCTGATGAATATGATATTTAATTTGATAAATATTGACACTCATACACTTATCTCATCAATTCTACTGTCTCAAAAGCACAATCTGAGTTTGACACAGAATTAATGTTTACCATTGGCTCCCTGCTGCATAATTAACGACATAATTTTTGTTAGCTAAACAAAATGACCAATGAAGAGAGACATTGGAGAACATCGTGACAACTGGAAAGATCAGTGGAAAAAGGGGTAGAGGCAGACCCAAGAGAGACGATGCTTGATGGGCTGAAATGATGACATGTAGGGATATCATCAAGAGAGCTGTTCCAGGCAACCAGGGATCGTGACACATGAGCGCTTACGCCAGTTGGCAGGGCACATGATGATGATGAAACAAAACAATGGGTCGCTTGTCATCTGTTGACTAGGCAGCATTAACAGTTTTGCCAGATTACAGAAGAATGGTGCCTGTTTGGATGACACACTTTGTTTCAAGGATGGCACTTGTGTTTTGGCCTTAATAAAATGTCTCATTTAATTGTCAGACTGTAGAAACTACTCTAAGCAGAGCTGGTAAAAAAAAGCATATGTTGAAACTAATGAAATGGAACCGGAGAGGAAAACTGTAGAAAACTATAAATATAGCACAAGTGATATGAAAGTCAACTGCAGACATTTCTTTAAAATGAACAGAGAAAAAAAATTAGAAACCATTTTAAACTGAATATAGACAGGAAACCTTTAATGGGACATGGAAAAAGAAATAGGAAAAAATTAATGAAAATAGGACAGGGAACGGAAACAGAACAAACTCTACCAAATGAGAGAAGGAAATAAAGCTAGGAAACAATTCTATGCTGCCCACATGATGAAGGTTGGCTACAGCGCATCACTGCTGTCTTTCGGAATATTATGTGGTGAGACCCAACTTCTTTCACTGTGTGCCTCTCGTACCAATATCCAAAAAAGCATACAAGTAGATTTTTTAAAAATCATCCACCGCAGAGGATGAACCCTAGCATTAGAAGGTCATGAAATGGTTAATCGAATTCACTAGTCTCCATGCCATGGAGCCGCACAAAATAACACTAGAAATTAGTACAAATGGTTAAATGAATTCACTAGTCTCCATGCCATGGAGCCGCACAAAATATCACTAGAAATTAGTACAAATGGAAAAATGGAGAGAAGAAAATTGTTGAAATTATTACAAACAGGCTAGACAAATCCAACTGGGGGAAGTAAACAGAAACTAGAAATTACTGCACGTTAGCCAACTCAAGACAGGGACAGGGAAAGAAAATTATAAACTACTTGAAAAGAAACAGAAACTAAATCTACGTGATATTGGACAGGAAAGTTATTTCTTAAATTGGGGAAAAAAAAGAGACATGGAATTAGCATAGAATGTACAAAGTCCTGCAACTGTACAAATTCACATTATCTCCCTTACCTGTTTTAATCTAACTAAGGAAGCTAAATTATTCAATCGGCTGTGGTCACTAACGCAATTTTCTCCCAAGTCCAGTTCTTGCAAAGCCGTTAACACCTCTACCCCTGTAACAAGAAGAAAATGACTGGATGGGTGGATTGACAACAACAAAAAATCTTAGTGGATTAAACAAAAAAGTAATCTTATCAACTAGAAAAGTGATAAACAGAAATGGTGCCATTTCCATAATGGAGGTTTGTTGCAATGTCATCATCCTCATCATGTAGCAGGTCCTTTGCAGATAGTCGCTCTCATCACGGTCTGCCTGAAAGAAACTTGGTCTCTCACCAGCTCTCTCGCCTCATGTACTTTCATACTCAAGGAGTCACTTATATCCTGTGCCCATCATGTTGGTCGGCCCTTGTCCCTCCCTCCTGGTGCCATGCCTTCTGCTTTAATTTTTTCCAATCCGTCACAGCGCTTGATATGACCAAAATATTTCAGCTTCAGAGACGGGATGCTGTTTATTAGCCAATCTTCCATGATGTTCAGATCTTTCAAGATGTCAGCATTTCTCTTCTTCTTTGTTGAAGATAATCTGAGAATCTTTCTATAGCATTGCAGCTTAAAAGCCCCTATTCTCTTTCTTTAGGACTTGTTGCAATGTAGCTACTGCTAATTGTGATGATCGTGCATTGCGTGGTTGCCCACGGTCACAGCAAGCCGTGTAGAAAACCTGTGCAAGAGACGATGGCATGGGATTCTCGGGCCTAAAGAGATGAACAAGGAAAAGACTCAGGTTGGCTTTTGGTCAATTGCGTACCAGAGTTATAAGAAGATAAATGTGATGTAGTCAATATTCACAGTCTAACAATCACATTCCAATATTTACAGTGAAAAATATTCCAATATTCAGTCTAACAATAATATCCTAATATTCACAAATTCAAATATTCAGTCTAACAATAACATTCCAATATTCACAAATTCATACAGTTTAACAATCATATTCCAATATTCACATAGTGTAAATATCACATTCCAATATTCACACAGTCTACAATCATCATCATCATCCCGTAATACTAAGTGTCGTTGGGTCACCAGTTTCTGTTGACTGTCTGATTAGCTCTCTCCACCTTTGTCGGTCAGTTGTGATGGACTTCATGGTTGCATGCCGGAGGCCTGTCCAGTCAGATTCTGTAACCAGGTCTTTCTTGGTCTGCTTCTCCTCCTCTTTCTCTCTACTGAGCCCTGCAGTATTTTTTTTGAGAGGCCGTTGGCTAACAATAACATTCCAATATTCACACAGTCTAACAATAATATTTCAATATTCAGAGTCTGACAATAACATTCCAATATTCATAGTCTAACAATAACATTCCAATATTCATACAGTCTAACAATAACATTCCAATATTCATACAGTCTAACAATAACATTCCAATATTCATACAGTCTAACAATAACATTCCAATTTTCACACAGTCTAACAATAACATTCCAATATTCACACAGTCTAACAATAACATTCCAATATTCACACAGTCTAACAATAACATTCCAATATTCACACAGTCTAACAATAACATTTCAATATTCAGAGTCTGACAATAACATTCCAATATTCATACAGTCTAACAATAACATTCCAATATTCATACAGTCTAACAATAACATTCCAATATTCATACAGTCTAACAATAACATTCCAATATTCATACAGTCTAACAATAACATTCCAATATTCACACAGTCTAACAATAACATTCCAATATTCACACAGTCTAACAATAACATTCCAATATTCATACAGTCTAACAATAACATTCCAATATTCACACAGTCTAACAATAACATTCCAATATTCACACAGTTTAACAATAACATTCCAATATTCACACAGTCTAACAATAACATTCCAATATTCACACAGTCTAACAATAACATTCCAATATTCAACAGTCTAACAATAACATTTCAATTCACAGTCTAACAATAACATTCCAATATTCATACAGTCTAACAATAACATTCCAATATTCACACAGTCTAACAATAACATTCCAATATTCACACAGTCTAACAATAATATTTCAATATTCAGAGTCTGACAAAAACATTCCAATATTCATACAGTCTAACAATAACATTCCATTACAGTAAGGGGCTGCGTGGTCTCACACGGAGCATATGTGGGTTACTACTTGTGTGCCATGATGTTGCTCAGTTGTTCAAACCTCATTACAGTGTCCAATCTCATGTACCTGTATTTCCCATGTTGGTTCTGGGGCCCACTGAGAGGGAAAAAAGAATAAACATACTGCCTCCACAATCAGCTGGAGTTGACTAATTGCGAGCTTCCTACTCAATTAATTAAAGCTTCCATAAAGGCTGAATGTGTTGCTGGGGCTTTCCCTGTTGGTCTGCCACCAGCTCTGAGATTTTTATAGTCTTACGGTGTTGAGTTCGTGAATCCTGGACAATTTGTAGGCAGGCCAAACAATTTCTTGAGGCCTCAGAGATGTGGTTTTATAGAAGAATGCTTAGAATACATTGGACAGCCAAAAAGAGCAACCAAGAGGTTTTGAAAGAGATGGGAGCCCGAAGACAACTTATCACAGACATCAGAAGAAGACAGTCATCATTTTCCGGCCATGTTATGAGAAGAGGGAAAAAAAATATGTTGTGACCACTGGAAAGATCTGTGGAAGGAGGGATGGAGGAAGACAACGAGAGAAGATTCTTGAGTCTTGCTGCAAGGCATGGAGGTTTGCCGGCACACGAACTGATACATGCTGCAGGAGATCGCAGATTGTGGAGAGGCATGATCGCCCACGCCAGTCGGCAAGGCACCTAATGATGATGATGGTGTTGAGTTGAGTTTAGCTGAGTCAAGAATTGACGTCACAGCACTCTGGGCATTCCCATGTGTGCTCCGTTCTCATCTTCAGCAGCCAGCACAGTTCCAATACTGATAGTACCAGTCATAATCTGGTTACATGTCCATCGTGCCTTTCCTCTGAGTGTAGTCAGCCGGCCAGACCCTCTGGTTACACCAAGGTGCCTCATTCTCTCCAGGCCATAATAATTTTCTTTCTCTACTGATTCTATTGCTTGTTCCCAAAGGGCCTTGACCACATCTGCCTTGTCATGTATCAATTCACCACCCACTGGTGCAGATCCAGCCAATCTGTCTGCCTTACGGTGCAGTGTAAAACCTTCAGATTTTGCTGGTCAGCCTTTCAGATTAAGATATTCTGATTTCACGATTAAGTTGAGGCGTCTGAGCTGAAATGCTATAGAAAGATTAACAGAATATGTTTGCTCATAAACAGCATCTTGTTTTGGTCACATCTATCGCCATGGGGGACAGGAGCAAACAATAGCAGAAGGCAGGGTACCAGCAAAGATGGGCAGGGGTTGACCAACACAAAGATGGATGCAGGATATAAGTGATGACGATGATCTCAGAGTGACAAACTCTTCAGAATAGGGATAAACAGCATGCATGCATGGACTTCCGCCTGACAAAGAAAATTTGCTTACCTCTAAAAACTTGTCGCAGGTCTCAAGTGAATTGTGACTTAGGTCTAACACCTCAACATGTGTGAGAAGTCTCTGAAATAAATAACAGAAATATTCTAGTTTTACATTATCATTTCCTGAGTAAGTAAAATTGTTATCACAGAAAAGCCAATAAAGGTTTTTCTTCTTCTTGTGTTTGTGATATTCATGCATGCATGCATTAGTAGTATTTATACTTGTGCATGTGTGTGTGCCGGCGTAATGCTGACCACATTACCCACCTAGTGCCATTTGGTCTGTAAAAATATGGGTGCTCTTCCCAAATGCCCGATGCACCCAAAGGCGTGAAAAGGGATATTTACTTCCTTTACTATATATCTCTCTCTCTGTGTGGGTGTGTGTGTGTGTGTGCGTATGTGCGTGTGTGTGTGGGAGGTGGGTTTATATATATATATATATATATGTATATATATATATGAAAATATGCACTTACCATCCATGCTTTTGTATTTTTATTTGCTAATCATAGTAAATATACTTCTATGTTAACATAGCATGCTTTATAGATAAAATATAACTGCTGCATGAAAGCTGCGTGCTCGAAAGGGCCCAATGTAAGATGGAAATTTGTCAAATACAATTTTGTTCAATTGTTCATTTGTCTGATCTTCAGCGAACAATGTGTGCTAAGTATCTGTTCAGGCACAGGTCAAGCTAAATTCTTTCAGTCTAAAGGCACTCATAGTTTGTTTATTGTTCCCTTTAACATAGTACACATCTTTTGACTCTTTCTGTCCCATTCTTCTGTTATTTTAACCCACTTTGTCTCAGTTGTGATATCATGAGGGGTGGTTGGCCAAACAGTTAAGAACTTCAGGCTCTCATGTGAGAGACCCAGGTTCGAATCCTGGGTATCCCCATTTGGGTTCCAGGGCCCCACTGTGGGGGAAAATAAGAACAGACCTGAATGTCGTAAGAGTCAACTAATTTGTTAGCCTCCTTCGAAGTCAGACTACCTCTGCCTGAGAGACAAGGAACCAACAGTCTGCATGCAAATGAGTCAGACCCTGTTAAACGGATGTGCACTCAACACTCAGTTTCTGAAAGAGGAGTATAGTCCAGAAGTGAACAATCAACCAGAACTCTCCTCCTGTGTTTACCACCAGTGAATGTAAAGAAGAAGAAGAATCCCTGGTAAAGTGGCAGATTTTTTTTCTGTCAGGGGTAAAATTATAATCCTAACCTGCACAGTCCATAGCGACAGCAGTAGCCATGCGGACCTTACTCCCCAGACTCAAACAACTCCCCTGGCTACACCCCCAAAAGTGGTAACACAAGAAGCAATGGCAGTTCTAGCAGTTGCTGTTATTTGAATTTCTGTCTCCGAACTGTATTTTCTAATGTCTCAATATTACAAAACTATTGCCCTAAGGTACAAATAATTGGGACTGAAAGAGTAAAGCACCATAGCTCAAGCAACAACAACACCCCCCCCCACCTGTAATCTTCGATACATCTGTACTCACAAACAAAAGAACAGAGCCCGAAACTCAACCCACAACCTTTAGTATATCAAGCAAGTGGTTTAATCACTTCACCATGGAAACCTCAAAGGACACACGTCTGTTAAGATCCACGAATGTATGTGCCACCCAGTATGGCCCATGAAGATGATATAGTTTTATAATTTGACCATCTTCGTCATGTAGTAGGTCCTATGCAGAACGTACTCTCCCTACAGCCGGCCAGAAAAAAACTCAGTCACTTGCCAGCTCTCCCGCCTCATGCACTTTCCTACCTAAGGTGTTACTTATTTCCTGTGCCCATCTTCTTACTGGTTGGCCCCTACCCCTCTTTCCTGGTACCATGCTTTTTGCTATTATTTTTTTTCCCAATCGGTCGTGGCGCTTGATATGACCAAAACATTTTAGTTGCCAGACAAGATGCTGTTTACTGGCCAATCCGTCTTGACATTCAAAGCTTTTAGGAAGTCAGTATTTTTTGTTCCCTTCTTTCTCCATGGTGTTCATAAAGTTTGTCTATAGCATTTAAGCAAAAAAGCCACTATTTTCTTCCTTAAGGATAACTTGATCATACATCTCAATTTATCACGTTAACTGGACAAACATAACATAATGGTGGCAAGTTATGTCTGGTAGTGGCAAGGAACTGTATTAAAGGGGCACCACAACACTAGGAACTGTATTAAAGGGTCACCACAACACAAGGAACTGTATTAAAGGGTCGCCACAACACGAGGAACTGTATTTAAGGGTCGTCGCCACACAAGGAACTGTATTAAAGGTTCGCCACAACACGAGGAACTGTATTAAAGGATCGCCACCACACGAGGAACTGTATTAAAGGGTCACCACAACATAAGGAAGTGTATTAAAGGGTCGCCACAACACGAGGAACTGTATTAAAGGGTCGCTAGAACACAAGGAACTGTATTAAAGGTTCGCCACAACATGAGGAGCTGTATTAAAGGGTGGCCACAACACGAGGAAGTGTATTAAAGAGTCGTCACAACACGAGGAAGTGTATTAAAGGGTCGCTACAACACGAGGAAGTGTATTAAAGGGTCGCCACAACATGAGGAACTGTATTAAAGGGTCGCCACAAAACAAGGAACTGTATCAAAGGGTTGCCACAAAACAAGGAACTGTATTAAAGGGTCGCCACAACACGAGGCACTGTATTAAAGGATCGCCACCCCACTTTCCAGAAGCTACTTCCCATCACTAATACTGTGTAACATATTTTTATAGACACCGACTGCAGAAATCACTATGAACTACGAAAACAAGCCATACCAATGAGTCATCCAGCGCAGATATGGAATTAAACATGAAAGAGACATATTTTAGTTGAGGCCACACCATCGCAGCAGTCATGTCTCCTCCACAGAACTCCAGCAAATCCTGAAACATTCAAAGAAAAAAACAAGTGAAAATCAAAGTAATGTTTCTCCGTTGTAAATTTGAATAAAGAAGACACAAACAATAGATTTGTATAGTCTGGCATGTAATTGTTGCTATAGTATGCACCAGATGAGATACAGAGAAATACGGCAGGCAAATTGATTGTATAAGTGAAAATAACAAATTTGCAGGTCCTGTTCCCATGTTAGCTGCGGGACAAAGACAGAAGATATGTTAATCAACTCCTATTGAGTATGCTGAGCATGGACACACTGAGATGGCTGCTGCCTCAGAGGATGAAACAAGAATAGGTTGGACCCATGAGCTCATCATCAAGTGCCTTGCCAGCTTGCATAGATCCATGCAACTCCACAGGTCTTTGGTGTTTTGGATCAATTCTACTGATTATACTCCTCCATGCCCCTGTCTTAGGCCATTCAACATCATATTTCTTGGTCTACCTCTGCCTCTTCTACCAGTGATATTTTCAGTTGTCACGATATTTTTTAGTGCTCCATTTCACATCACATGACCTCTATGCCACTGTCTTAAGCCATCCACCATAATTTATCTTGGTCTGCCTTTGCTACCATTGATCTTTCCAGTCGTCATATCTAGTGCTCCTTTTCTCATTAGATTGCCAAAGAACTTTGTTTGTCTCCTTCTCACTGTTATCTATAATGTTATACTTTCATTAGCCATTTCCAGGCAATCATTGTTAAGTTATTCTGGTCATCCAAGGTATTCGCAACATTTTGTTTAAGAACAACACCTCAAAATGTGCTAGGATGTTAAAATGGACAGCAAGAAACATGATCTCATGTCTTGAGACTTATCAGGCATACAGCGCTAGCTGCATTTTTGTTAAAATACCAATCGACACTGTGGTCAGTTAAGTAGGAAATCCCAGATCCAACTTTTCAGCAGACATGTCACCCCACAACTGTCTCATTCCTGTGCTTGAAAAACCAGACACAATGCCTATCATGGTCCCTTGCAAACCAAAAAATTTTTTTCAGTTATTTCAAATGACTTCGGCAGCTAACAGTGCCACCCCATGCAATAATCTCAGCAGCGGGGCGACAGAACTATATTTCTTCAGTCCACGTACAGAGTGAATGCAACAGCTGACATAGGCAGAAGCACTCAGTTTGTCAAGGCTAAAACAACTTGTTTGTCTTTCTGTCATATTGAACAAAACAGCTGATGTCAACACTTCTTCTTTTTTTTCTCCTGCCCTGTATGCCCCAATGGAGCACAAGCCCTCAACCAACTCATGTTAGGTTGTTCTATCCTTTGCTTTTTATTGCTTGCAGCTCATACCAAGTCCTCCCCATCTTTATAACTTCACGTTACACCTCCTTTCTCCGTGTGTTTTGGTCTGCTTTCATTTCTATGTCCCTGTGTGTTCCAGAAAAAACAAATAGTGGCCTTTATTTACCCAGACATTTCCTGTCAGCCTAATCCTTTATAACTGAGAGGAAATGGCTAGAGATCACTGTGCTTGCTGTAGTCAGATCTCTTCTAGTACAGCAACTTTGTTTAGTTTGCTTTCTACTCATGACACATGCAACAGGTGCAAAGTAAACATTCATCACTGAAGAAGAAAGAAAAGTTTGAATGAATGAGCACATTTTACTTTCAAAGGGTCACAAATTAGGCCCGCAGGCCTGTCTTACATTCGGCCCTCTCAAACACCCATCTCTCAAGAAAATATCAAGAAGAAACAGAAGAAAGGAACGGGTGGTGAAATGCATACGCACACTCGAGCGTGTACACACACACACCCACAAACACATGCTCACCCACTCACTAACTAACATACATATACCCACCCACACACACTCCCCTATATATACATGCATCCATACAGACATACATTTATACAGACACATTCTAACATACAAAAACATACACTAACACATAACAATACGGTCATCCATACATACAGACATACAAAAGTATAAACAGACACACACACACACAAATAGACATATAGTCAGTTACACGAAACTAAGGAAGCTACACAGGTGTTATACTTGATCAAAGATAGAAACTGGAAGTCTGAATGACAGAACAACAGAAAAAGAAATGGTCTGGAGAACAGCAACATACATTTTGGCAAGGACAGATTAAATGTAGGATCAGCTGACAAATGTTGCATAAACAATCTGGTTTGATAAAACTCATCTAGTTCATCATATGTCAAAAGTTTAGCCAAGTATTACTAGCAACCAAAGAAATGAACAACATCAACTAACAGCCAAAGAAACAAAAGGCATCCACTAACAACCAATGAAACAAATGACATCCACTAACAACCAAAGAAACAAATGACATTCACTCAAAACAAAAACAAAAATGACATCCACTAACAACCAAAGAAACAAATGACATCCATTAACAACCAATGAAACAAATGACATCCACTAACAACCAATGAAACAAATGACATCCACTAACAACCAATGAAACAAATGACATCCATTAACAACCAATGAAACAAATGACATCCATTAACAACCAATGAAACAAATGACATCCATTAACAACCAATGAAACAAATGACACCCACTAACAACCAATGAAATAAATGACATCCATTAACAACCAATGAAACAAATGACATCCACTTACAACCAAAGGAACAAAAGACACCCACTAACAACCAGTGAAACAAATGACATCCACTAACAACCAAAAAAAAAAAAAATGACATCACAAACAAAAGCAAACCACGGTGTTGAGCCCTCAAGCACACACCTTGACTTTGTCCACACTTCTGTATACTGTCACAGAGACAAGGACGCCACGCAAGCGGTGCAGACCTTCCACCATATGTATGGGCACCTTTCGAAGCTGAAGGCATGTAAGATTGCCGAAGCGATGAAGGGAAATTGGGGAGCTGAGCGTGCCAGAGTACCGGATCAGCTGAGGAAACAGAATCAGTAAGTGATGAAAGAAATGTACAAGCAAGTAAGTCAAGTATAGGAACCTTGGCTGTGCCTTCAGGCGTACTGGACATATAGGACTTGACCTATATTTTATAGACCAATCAGCACTTAATGGGTGATGTGGTCAGCATCATGCCAGCTGCCTTTACTTCCCAGGGCTTGTACCTGGTACCCACATGACGCTGAGTCGACCTGGGAGTCAAGGAAGAAAGCCTGGCTCTGACAGGACCCAAATCCACAACCTTCCTATCCGCAGGTAAGCGTCTATGCGCCATAACAGTGGCTCCTGAAATGTACAATACACTTAATTATTTGTGGAATGAGTGCTTAGCTAAGAACCAACATTACAGTGCTCTAGACAGTCCCATAAACACTCGGTTCTCCTCTTCAGCATCCAGAAACGAGTTTCCAATTCGATGGGGCCAGTAGCAATTTGACTATACATCCGTCTTGCCATTCCTCTGAGTATAGAGTGACAATCAGATCCCTTGGTCATTCCTAGCTGTACCATTCTCTCCAGACCTTAATGATCTATTAGTGCCAGTAGAGTTCTTTATTAGTGCAATGCGTGCTCGGCGGTGATGCATGAAGTTCTTAACTAGTCACAGAGTGTTTCTAATGTCTCCGTTTTCCAACTGCTATTTTCACTTTCGGAGTACCATACCTAATTTTGGGCGGGAAAAAAAATGAAGCCATTGCCCTCCACCAAATATGTGGTACAAGGCGAATAATGACTGCCTTCGAAGTCAGAGTACATCTGCCTGAAAAGCGAGAAACCAACAGTTCGCTTACAAAAAAGCCAGATCTGCAAGACTCAAGTGCTGGAACAAGACTTAGTCCAGAAGTGGATGAACAATCAGAACTTTTTACCAGAGTTTACAGTTAGCGAACACAAAGAAGAAAATTTCTAGAGTCTCTAAGAAAATATGATAAAAGCTTACTTTCAAACTAGGTGTGCTCAACATGAAATCCTTTATGAACTGAACATGACCACTCCATTCCTCTTTAACTCTGGCTGCTGCCTGTTGGGCTCTCAGTCTACTTGCCAGAGGTAAAAAGCTTCTGCCACCTGGCGATATCTCTGCTGCAGCAATGTCACTCTCGGTGATACTGTGTCGTCGGCAGTCATGGTTCAGCCGTGTCAGTACTTCAGTGGTCAGGGTAAATGCAGAACTGCCGCTGAGAACGCGGTCTCCTGGTGATAGCAATTTTGATTTACAATGTAATATAAAGAACTTTTAATTTAGTACAACAAAACAGAACAACAAATTTTAAAGCTGGGAGGATTTACTTGATTGCACTGGTTTTTTTAATCCCTTTTTTTCTGCTCGGCCACAATCCAGATCAGAGATCTGATGTTAAGTATAAATAGCATGACTGCACTTTTGATGACAATTTCAATAAAAAACTGGCACTTTTGATTCACGAAACAAACCAACAACCTTCAGAATGCAAGGCATATGGCTTCACCATACTGCTATGGAGACTCCCAATAGAAAAAATAAAAACACTGAACAAGTAGTCACAGTAAGTACTGCCAATGAGAACCCAGTCTAGTCTTCTGGTGATTAGAGTTTTGGTTTCTTCTTTTTGGGCTTTAGGTGTGGCTTGGGTGAGGGATTCTTTTTTTTTGGTCTTTCCCCCAGATGTTCTGCTTTAAAAAGTCCCATATCCAGTTTGATCTGGCTGTGTTCTTACCAGATGTCCGAACTATTTCATTCTTCGTCTGTCAATATTTTCCAGACATGGTCTTATTCCAACGTTCTCTCTAATACTGGCATTCGTAACCATGTTACCATCACATTGTAACCATCACTGATCATCTATAAAAAGAAGGTTTGTTTTTAATATCCTACCACCAGATGACGTCACAGGACAGTCCAACATTTTAGAGGGTGGTAAGACTGGGTTTCCCAGCTTTCTGATGATTTTAAAGACCCCAAAACATCTAGAACTGGTCCTAACCACAACCCACCTATTTTCCACCACTGCATGCAGCCTACCTACCACCCCCTGAAATATTAGACTGTCCTGTGACCTGTGGATTTTCCCTTGTTTGGGGTAGGATATTAATAAAGCACCAAAAGAAGTTCACTGATTTCTTCAGTGTCTGTATTGGCTTTCTGTGTAATTCTATCCACATATTTTGGTTTATAATGCACAAAGTCACAGTATGAGTTATAAGACAAAGATGGTGCTATACTGGACACATCCTGAGAAGAAACGAGCAAAGAATCACCAAACAGGCACTGAAATGGGGAATAAAAGGCCCGAGAAATTATGACATTCAAAAGAAACCATCAAACAAAAGCTGATGAGAGAAGACAAGGATGCTGGACTGAACTCTATCCATGATATCGAAATTAGGAAGAATTTGGAGGCAAGAGAGATGTGGTTTCAGAGACCAATGTTACGAAAACCTTGGACGGCCAGAGTAACTAACATCGATTGCTTGAAAGAAGCTAATGAAAGTAGACCTCTATATACAACAATAGGAAAGAGACAAACACTGTTCTTTGGCTTCATAATGAGAAGAGATACATTGGAGAACATTGTGACAACTGGAAAGATCAGTGGAAAAAAGGACAGAGGCAGACCAAATTAGATGACACTGAATGGGCTGAAACGATGGCATGGAGGGATATCATCAAGAGAGCTGTTCCAGGCAACCAGGGATCGTGATCTGTGGAGACGTATGAGCGCCTACGCCAGTTGGCAGGGCACATGATGAGGATGATAAATCAACAAAACACTGCCACCCAGGAAAAATTGTGTACCAATAACACTATTTGAATTTAAAAAAGGGAAAACATCTGGATATGACACAGAAAAAAAAATCATACCTTCATTCCTCAAAAGAGTACACAGCTTCTTCAAACCCACATCTTGAGTCCACGGGTGAACACCGCTGTGAGAGTTTCCTGAGCTGTGTGCTTTAGCAGTCATGTTGTTCCAGAGAGTTAGCTGCTTGCTGGGTTAGGCAATATCCCACATAGAGCAGTGGGGACGCTACAGCCAACCTTCATTGTAGAGACAGCATACAGTGTTATCTATTAGTAATTTTTAAAAGATATTGCATTTTAAATCTTTGAGTCCTGAGTAAAGCAGGGTGAGTGATGACCTCTTATCCGTGGCCCACATAAATCCCAACAATTGCATCATGTGTTTATTTATGTCTGGTTACAACATACTACAATATCTGGCTACATCCGCAGTAAAGTTACTCTCTGAGAAACTGATGCAATCATGGCTTTATAATAGTTATTTCCCATCCCTCCTTCAGCATCACCTGACATATTTTGTAATACTGGAAGAGTTCAATGCTGCTCAGAAATTACGAACATGCTTCGTGATACCAAGGTGTCAGGTTTAATACCAGCTGCAGGCATTTTGGCAGCAGACCACCTCGCACTGGTTTAAACAGCGGTACCAAGAGCCAACTGCTCAGAAAGCAATGGTAAACTCATCACCATCATCCTAATCATGTGCCCTGCTGACTGGCATAGATGTTCATACATCTCCACAGTTCTCGGTCCCTTCTCCTATGAATCAGTTTCACCGATGATATCCCTCTGTGCCACTGTCGCAAAACACGAGGAACTTGTCAAAATGCTGACAGATATTAACACTGATAGGAAAGATCTCAGAATTATTAAGAATTGTATTGGGAGCAAATGATAGCTATTCAAATAGGAAATAGAATGGGTACATATGAACAGATCAAACAAGGAGTTAGGCAGGGATGTGTTTTGTTATCTGGCCTCTTTTCTCTCTCTATAGCAAGATGATATTGAGAGAGATCAAAGATACACAAGGAATAAGAGTGGGAAATAAGATGATATCGAGAGAGATCAAAGATACACAAGGAATAAGAGTGGAAGATTATAATTTAAACAACATACATCATGCAGATGACACAGTAATGATAGCTGAAAATGGCGAACTACTCAACATAAAATTGCCCAGTAAAATCATAAATAGCAAAAATCGCTTGGGTTGATTCTACAATATCCTGTGTTGCTGTTGCTACTGTCTAAAATCACTCTAGACATGAGTGTAAGGTAAAGTAGGTCAATGAAAAAATGAGTTAAGGAATGAATGACATAACTGCACTAAGGATATTTCCATAGTGTTCCGTCTCATTCCTCAGAGGCCAACAAAGAGTTGACAAACTGATAATAGTACCAGCAGGAAGCTGATTAAAAGTCTGCCTATGTTTACCCATCAGTCTTGAATATCTTTCAGACCACCAACCCCCCCCCCCCCCCCCCCCCCCCCCCCATCAAGTGAATAAGTCTTTCAATTCAATGTACTGATTCTTAGTTCTACTGCACTGTCCTTTTGAACCCAGAAATATTTTAGCCTATCCACTTTATCCAAGAGAAGCTGCAGCAGCCAATCTATCTGCCTGCTCATTACTCTGCACATCAGATTTCCCCAGACACAATAATCTATGATATGCTCCCGATCTGATTCTTATCAAGTGATGCAAGCCACCCTGACATCAGTTTCAATTTTCTGAAGCAGGCTATGTGACATTTAATGGCACAACAGAAAAATGATGATGATGCATGGCAGACATTGGGTGTGTGTCGGTTTTTATCCAATAACACATTCAAGGCAATTACATAGGATATGCAGTGACCAATCACCCTTCCTTCTCCTCCTAGACAATTCCAAACAATTCTTTGGTACCCCTGGGCATGGGGCTTGGTCAACACCAAAGCCCTAATTGTCAGAAAAAACCTGCCACTTCTTATATCCATTAACACATTCAAGGCACTTACATAGGATATGCGGAGACCAGTCCCCTTTCCTTTCCCTCCTTGACAATTCCGATAAATTCTTTGGTCTTTGGTACCCCTGTGTATGAAGCTGGGTCAACACCAAAGCCTTAATTGTCAGGAAAAACCTGCCACTTCTTGAGACTGAACCCAAACTTTCGCATATGGGTTCCGATGCCCCACTGGTGGAGGGGAAGGGAGGAAGAGACCCAATACCTCCCTGCATGTTGTACAAGGCAACTAATTACATGTGTTTCCTTCGAGGTCGGAGTGCATCTGCCTGAGAGGTTAGGAACCAATGGTCTGCATAAAAAAAAGCCAGACTTGTAAAATGGAATTGCAATAAGTAAGAACTGACGTTCTGGATATATATACATATAATTATTTATATGTTGTTTGTTGTTTGTCCATCACGAGTGATGAAGACCACTTTCATCCAAAAATGATCAATGATTATGAGTACGAAGGTGGCTGATAAATATATATGGACACACATACACAGATGAAATAAAATATGTATATTACTGATATACATATTTTATTTCATCTGTGTGTGTGTGTCTATATATATTTATTATTAATATTATTAGTAAAGTTCCCTTTACTTTACATGACAGTGGTGCAGAGGGCATATATATAATATATATATATATATATATATATATATATATATATATATATATAAACTATACCAGAGTTGAGTATCATATCAGTATCCCAGTCACTGTCAGTATCGTATGAGTATGTGATGAAGAAATGGTCAGTAGTTTGAGTTTGAGTGCCCCCAAATTTGATTTTTAACTTTAATATCTCAAGCGTCACATATTAAAAATATATAATAAACGTAAACACATGACAGACATCACATATCCCAATATCAATTTACCACAAGGTTTCTAGCTCCTCAAGTTTACAACAGCAAACATTAATTAATCCACGTTAAAACAAGTTTACATTTACACAAGATTTTTGTCAGTTCCCACAGTTCAACCTAACTGCCAGTTTGCATTCGCACACAATAAATCATGGAAAAATTGTTTGAAAATTACTTTTACGTCGAATAAACCAAAACACTGAAAAAAATGCATTTTAGCATAGCATTTATTAATAAATATTATTTTGCTTTAATATTGCTCAAAGTTTTGAGCTAAAAAAAATATTTTAATGAAATATGTATTACTATTAATGACGCAATGTTGACTATGTGAATAAATGTCTTAAGTAAATTAATATACGACAAAAAAATTGCAAATATTTTTGTTGAATACTTAATGACTATTTCCCAGAGTTATATTTTTCAGGGGTGGACAAGATATTTTATGTACAAAATAATCACTACTACCGTTTATACTTGGTGACTACCTGGCTATGTAAACACGAGCGACCTAGCACGTGATGATGGTTCATATAATTCTGGTACAACTCGGTCAACAACAAACACTTCACTCATTCTGTATCCCGCGACTATGTAGAAATTATTAAGGTCAATATAAACACATCAATAGAATCACTACACAGTTTATTCAGTAAAGCCTGGGAAAACGACAGCAGACTGGAATGCAGTTTCTCTTAATGGAACACAACTCCAAGACGTGGAGTCGTACAGCTATTTGGCAATAATGTAGATAAAGATAGAGGAATTTTTAAAGATATTAAAATGCGAAAACAAAAGGCGAGAGCTTTTATAGCACTAGAAAATTTGTGTGCAGGTTTAAAAAAAAAATAAAGAGTACTAATTTTAAACTTAAAATTCTTTATGTCGAATTAGTACTGTTGTTTGGAGCGGAAATATGGAGAACAACAAAGGCAATTAATAATAAACTACGAACATTCATTAACTGGTGCCTGCTCAGAATACAGGATTTTGATAGTATGAGAGAGTCACTAATGTAGAGCTTTATGAGAGAACTAAAGAGGTGAAGAAAGGACGTCCAGCTTTTGATATAAAACACGTTGAGAAAACCTGAGAACAATATAACTAGAATGTCTTTGTAGTGGAAACCACAGGGGCATAGAAATAAAGACCCCACCCCCGCCCCCCAAAAAGCGAGCTAGAGAGTGAGGTTAAACAAATTTGGGAGAGCTGCCTACAATAGCTAGTTAGTTGGTTGAGGGCCTATGCTCCACTGGGGATTAGAAGGCGGAAGAAGAACACAAAATATTTAAAAAGTTAAGTAAATAACCTTGGCTCCCAGGTCGGCCCAGCCTTGAGTGAATGCCAGGTACAGTCTTGGGAAGTAAAGGCGGCTGGCGTGATGCTGACCACATCACTCACCAAGTGCCGTTTGTCCTATAAAATATAGGTCCAGCCCTATACGCCTGAAAGACGTGGAAAAGAGTTTTTTACTTTTTACTTTACCAGTACTAATGTCTATTTTACTCAGGTGTATTTCGTAAGAGACCAAGCTGGTTCGCAACTCTCTTTATTTAACGTCCTTTCGGACCACCATTTATTGTTTTACAATTTTGATTATTTTAAGATTTCAGAAGTACCGAAAACAGTTTCTGGATTTGGGTAGATTTGAAATTGTGAAAATCAATTCGTGAGTGATCATGGCGAACTTATGAATGTCTTCTTGTAATAACAGCGGGTTTTGCATATACTAGCGATGCGGATGAAATGGTTCATGAGGCCTAACTATGATTCTAGACGCGTTGTGGTGAGGTCCGGGTATGTGGCGACTGTGTCGCCAACTAGCTCGCCGATGTACGACTTAGTCGCCGGTCGGGACAGAATTTGAGTCTGTCTCCTTTGATCGCATCAACACTAAAGCCCTTTCCATGGCTCTTGGTGGCGTACAGTGTTAAGCTATTTTATTTGACGCACATAAACTAGTCACAATTATAACATGAAGACCCCCCCCCCTTTTTTTTTTGGTAATGCTGGTTGAACGATTTTTTTTACAGCAGAGCACGAAGGACGAAGGGTATGGTGACCCATGTATGGGATGAGGGGTGGGAGGGAGTTTGGAGTATTGGATTGTCTGGTGTGTGCAAGTAACCACCCCCCCCCCACCCCCCGTACTTTGAACTGGAGTGCTCTCTGAGGATTGTTGTGGGTGCAGAGGAGTCATGGCTGGTGTGTATAAAACTTTGTGCTTTTGAACTCTGTTGGTGAAACAGACTGACGTTTAACCCCACCAGAACCACACAGCGAGCGAT